AAAAGTTCACGGACCATTGGCACGACTTTTAATGTTCAGAAGGAATCTGTACAATTTTTGAAGAGTTCGTAGGTAAAAGGCGCAAAAAGTTCAGAAGGAAACTTTACAACTTTTAATATACTCCATATATTTTATACTTGAAAATCTATTGCTATTTTTAAAAATCATGTAATATATACTAATTATTATTTAATATGCTACATTTTTATCTTTTCAATCATTTTAATTATTCAACTAAGTATAAAGTTTAACATGTCAATTGTACATAAGAATACATTATCTAGTCTTTAATTTTTTAAAACATGAGTATCACCTTATTATTTAAGTCTTTATGGGAATGGTACATGCACAATGATATTAAAAACTAGATGGGAAAATAAAAAATAAATTAAATTATTTTTATTGACTAAAATTTCTAATATATAATACTCCCTCCGTCCTATAATGATCTTCTCGGTTCGCAAAACGAAGAAAAATCCCAAATTTTTTCAATCTATTTTATTTAAATATTGGTATAGAAATAAAAAATAAAACATACATATTTAAAAACTACACCAAAAGTTCAACAAAACAAGTGGTGACAAGAATATTTTATTTTATCATATAGACCATGAAAAAACACAAATAAATATAAATTCCCGTGAAGTTGGAATAGTGCTCTGGAAAGATCATTATAGGACGGAAGGAGTATTTAATATTATTATTATAATAAAAATGTTTGACCGGCTCGTTAGACTCCTGATTTGACCGGTTTGACTGATTGACTCTTGACCCAATATCTCGTCCAGACGTTCGGTCCAGTTTCCAAAATATTATTGACGATTCTACAACCAATTAGAAAGTGCTATGCGACAATCATCCTCTCAAGATAGAAACCAGCTCAAACACTAAAAGCATAGAGTACTTCGCATTTTTGTACGGAATTGTAATAAATGAAAAAATTAATTAGAAAAAATTAATTAGGTACGTATTAATTGAAGCAGGAACCATTTGTGCTACCACTCGGACGTGACTGGATCACAAAAAGACTATCACATTTGAGTTTTCAAAAATTATGTAAACTTTTATTTATTTTGGTAATTTTATTGAATATTTGATAAAATAAAATATTTATATATCACCTCTTGTTTTGTAGAATTTTTGACGTAGTTTTTATATACTGTATGTAACTTTTTTTATTTCTGTACCAATCTTTAAATAAAAAAGATTGAAAAAACTCGATTTATTTTTTTCATAAAAATATTCGATATTTATGTTCATAAATTCGATATTTTTTTCCCAATAATTATTACAATTGTTGTCAAGCCGAGGAAAATATCATATGGGGGAAAGGAGACTAGGAGAATATGTATTTTGAGTATACTCCCTCCGTTCACAAATAAATTTCTCGTTCACTATTTACTGGGTCAAACTTTATTCACATCGCTAGCCTATTTTCGTCACCCATTTGATAAAAAAAATATAGTCATGTCACATCTAGTTTTGTAAATTTTTTTATATAGTTTTTTAATATGTAATTTTTATTTTTAAATTTTACACCATTTTTTATATAAAATAATTTGAAAATAACTTCAGTCAAATATCGTAGCGCATAACGAGAAATTTATTTATGGACGGAGGGAGTATGTTGTTTATTGAAACGGTTTTATAGAATAACTAAATGAATCTCTTTTTGTTGAGGCACTACATATTCCCTTTCACGTGCTATTTCTTTGCTTCTTTCCTCGATAATAGTACTGTTATATTCTTAATTCTTATGACCCCTATGGTAAAATTTAGAAGATTGATATGATATGTATGTAGTGGTAAATTTTAGAAGATTAATATGATACATATTTTGAATTTCAAAAAAAATGATATAATTTTTAAAATTCGAGACAAAGATATATATTATAGAGATTCAAAACCATGAATTTTAGTTACGACAGCTGAAATATCAAACATTCGTATTGGTACTACTGAAATTCAGAAAACATCAAAACATCATCTTTTCAGAAGATTTATATGTCTCCCAAAAAAGTGTTAATATTTGCAGACATTAGAATATACTTCCTTCGTTTTTGAGTATTTGTTGCTTTAATCTTAACTTTTTACAGGTTGAATCACTTCAACATTTGATTTATAATTAAATAAAAATTATATGACACTTCTTTCGTTTCATAAAATTTTTCAAAGTTTCAAAACGGGCCACCTTTATAATGTACAATTATTTTCTAATTTTCTTCTCAGTTTATAATATGATAGGATATAGTTTGCATGACAAATGAGTCGTGATTAGAAAATTATATCAAAGCTCTACATTTTTAAGGCATATCTTTTTCAACTTTGAAAAGTTTTATGGGAAAGTATATTAATTAGATTAAACAATATTTTGAAAATATTTTATAAAAATAAATATAATAAAATTATTTTTGTATTAATATCAAATATTAATTTTATGTAAATGATGGTCAAAGTTTGTTAACCTTAACTACAAATACATAGAAACCAAAGTGGCTTTTTTGTTTTCTCAACAAACACCCCCTTCATAAATAATGGTTTTTTTTGGTGGGTAGGAATAAATAAAGGAGTTTACTCCATCATGTGTAGCTTTATCTTGTGGGTTTTTATTACCAAAAAACAAAACTAAAGGCTGTAAGTGCACATGTAATGCACAATTTCTTCAACTGGTTGCAAATAGATTATTCTTCTCTCCATAAAGCTAAAAAAAGAAAATACTCCCTACCTTTCTCATTTTCTAGTATATGTGTTTCATCTTTTGGGTTGGCTCAAATGCATATCTCATTTTCTTTTTAAAGAAACAATATGTAATTCATAGCATTTTCATTTATCAATTTCATCAGTTTAACACTTTTATTTTTCAATATTTCATTAATTAAACTGCATGGTAAAAGTCAAACCTAACTCATCGAGATATTTCAATGAACCGGAAGGATTGAAATTAATAAAAAGAATTGTTTAGCAAATTCTTTAGACGTAAGGCCAAGTGACGGAAGGGCGTGACTTACGTGGAGGGGTGCGGCCCCTCTGCCCGTGACTACAACCGCACATGAAAATTTAAAACATCTTCACCTCAACCAATAAAAATCATTTACACATTCACCCTTTACCACTCTCATCCAAACTGATCTTACCATATATTTTTTTATCATGCATTTCAAATCGTAGACTCTTACACCCTATTACTATGTTTTTTCACATGTCATGCCATATGATTAGGATAACACTTAAGCATTCTAAAAATGGTAAATTATCATTAACTCAACTATCATGTTCATTTAATACTTCCTCACTCCCTAAAAAAGGAGTTTCAAATTTTGATAAAAAATAACAATAGAGAACTCTAAGAATATTATTACGTGGCTCACGCGATTATTTGTCGTATTAATTGATCAATAATTACTTAATTTATCCTAAGCTACTATTTTATTGGTAATGATTCGATGGGAGTAATTACTCTTATCGTACTAATTAGGATTTTTCCTTGGGAGTATTATAAATAGAGGTTATTAGACAACTAAAGAGGTGTCTGAACATCATTAACGCCAACTCTAAACCTAATGTAAAAGATCGGCCTCCTCTCTTGTCTCTCAATTTGTGATCATGAAGATCACCTAATCCCCTCCTAAAAAATACACCCTAAATGAAAACCCGACCAAGATCATGTCGTCATTTCTCAGCCATTTAATCACAAGTTTATCAGCCAGATATTATTTTAATCACTATTATTGTTTTATTGGCCATGTTTGGAAAATAGTTTTTCAGATAACTTTTGGCATCTTTCACTGAATTTGGCTTTTTTGACTAAGCAAACAACCAAAATCATTGTGTAGCTAATGACTTTTTCACTTGGTATTTTGATCCGAAAAGCCAAAATCTGAAAAGCCAAGGAGAGTAGCATTTGGACTTGACACTTGTCTGTTAGGAAAAGTAATTTTTTTAAAATCATTTTCTTGAAAGATATTCTATAATACATGTAAAAAATAAAAATAATAAAAGTTAAAAAAAATTCAAAACAAAAAAATAAAATTTAAAATTTAAAAATTTCAAAAGAAAGGAGATGAGAAAATAAAAGGTAAAAATTAGTAAAAAGTTGTATATTAATAATTTCTTATGAATTAAATGAAAGTAAAATTTAATACTCCATAGAGTAAAGATTTAGTTTTTACATGTAAAAAAATGAAAAACAAATATCGTGTGTGCGCGTGTGTATTGGAACTATTTTAAAATACGGAGTAGCTAATTTTATCAAATATTTTTAACGATCAGCTAACTCATTCTACCAATCAAAGCAGCGAAACTAAACAGTCATTCATAACAGCTGACACGAACTATCAATAGCCATCAACCGTCAGCCAGCATCCAAACAAGGTCATTATATGATTGAAGAACTGACAGGGACATCATTTTTTAGGGGAGGGAACATCATTTATTAATGTTAAAGCTTATATATTTATTGCGAGGACCCCGAGTGTTGAGGTAGGCTTTATATTTCTTTCTATACTAACTGTGTATTATGACTTATTAGATACATTGTAAAGTGAATAATTTAGACGCAAACTACGTGTGTCTACATAATAAGTACAATGAAGAGAGTATTTTTTTAAACTCTATATTTACTAAAGCATTTATTTGTAATCCTCATTAAAAAAAAATTCACTATATTTTTTATTATATTGAAACATGCAATATACAATATGAAGGATGCAATAAATAAGATATTCAGTGCACTAATTCAAAAGTGAATTTTCTCAAAATTTTCACCCTTTTTAAAGACGAGATGAGTATTTTCGAAATGCTTGATAAATATTCTGGAATTTTAACAAAATAAAATTAAAAAAAATCGAAGAAAAAAACCAACAACAACAACCCAATTGAATCCCACTGCAGTAGGGTCTGGGGTAAAAAAACCAAATGAACATATTTCACAAAGTAATTAATTAACAATTAAATTTCATCCACAAAAAGTCCAAATACTACACAATTTATATGGAATAATGAATACATATAACGTTTTATTCCGCCGTAATTTTTTTGAGCATATTTCCACCGTAAAAAAATTAATTACAGTACATGAAATTGTTCATGCCTGTAACAGTCACGTGGTAAAGAATTGATTGATGCCTTAGCTAGCTTTCACACGGAGTAAATAATTTTTTTTACTGCGAACCACTCTTTGAGCCATGCAGATTTACCGCACTCGCTTTTTTTTTTTTTGGATTTACCTCTAAATTTAATCCCAAAGTAAATTCTCATCCCCTGACCAAATATCCGCGTGAAACGGCTCGAATCCAGCTGCCAGCTGGAGCCACGGCGAAATGAACCCGATATCGGCGGCTCTTCGGGTCGGGTCGGATAGAAGATCCGGCAAATCGAGAAACGGGTCGTCGTCGTCGTCCCTGCTCAGAGACGTCGCCGTGGATTCCGAAGTCGGATTCTCCTCCGGAGATGACGGCGGATCGGGTCGGGTCGGCTCTGAGCAGTCGAGCGCGGCGGCTTTTGCGGCGGCCGCCTGGATGTCCTTGGCGGATTTAGAGGCCGGTCTGGGGAGGCCGGGCGCTAAGCCGGGGAAATTGAGGACCGCGGACGGCCCCTTGATGGCGATCGCCGCCACGTCGTGGGCCCGCGCCGCCATCTCCGCGGTGGCAAATGTCCCCAGCCATATCCTCGTCTTCTTCCTCGGCTCTCGGATCTCCGACACCCACCTCCCCCAGCTCCGCTTCCGCACGCCGCGGTATATCGGGTGTTTCCCGTCGTCGTCCTTTTTCCTCCTCTTCGACGCCAGGATCTTGTTCGGTGAATTTGCCGGCGGTGGTGCGGCGGCGGAGTTTAGATATTTACAGGCCGGAAAGTGGTCGCCGGCTAGTTCCATGGAGAGCGTGTGGGGAGACACACCGTACAACAAAGGTGAGCGCATACCTTCCTAATATAGTATGGTCTCTCCCTCTCGAAGCAAAACTAATAATACTCCGTACTTTCGATTTTAAAAGAAAAAAAAAAGAGAAAAAGTTAAATCCCACAAAAAAAATTATTTCCATTTAACATTATTATACTAATAGAAAACAAATAATATTAAGAGCAATGCTAGAGGTACGCCAAAGGTGTACCCCAAATGTACGTCACCCTCTTCTCCGTCGCACATTTTTATTTGATTTTTATTTATTTATTTTTTGTGAATTTCTTGCCTATTTATGTGGACAAGGAGGGGGTGGAGACATATAAAGGGTACACCTTTGGTGTACCCCTAATATTTTTTCTAATATTAATAATATAACGGAAAGGTTCCGTTGTCACTGGAGAGGGTAAAAGGGGGTCGCTAGTGTGGGATTGAGGTGGGATGCGGTAGGGGTTTTAGCCTTTTTGAGGTGGGTCATGGGAGTAGAAATTATCAATTTTTCATTTAGAGCATCGCAAGAGTTTCAAATGAGGGAATGTCATTCATTGACCTTGCGGTCAACGGAACCTTACCGATAATTATAATTAAATGTTTTCAGCATTTTATTTTTTCTATAATTGTTATTTCAGTATGATTGGAATTATCCCTTCTATTTCATATCTATAGAAATGAAATCTCTATTATTCAAAATTCTATCATGATTAGACTTGATCAAAGTCAGGGTTTGGCCAAAATATTACATTACGAGAATTTTCTAGGCCTGAGCCTGGCCTGACCCGTATGTATAGCGTGCCCAACAATTGAAGCCCGAGTCGGCCCGTGTGGATACGTGCGGGCTTTGGGACGGACCAGTCCGGCCGAAAAAAATTCTAAATAATTAGAAAAATATTTTAAAAACACTAATGGGCTTGATAGGAAATAATACTTGAACCGGTCCAGATTTCCTAATTATTTATGAAGAAAACAATCAAATCGGACATGGTGAATAAAATAAGGGAACGAAAGATTATTCAACTAGAGATGTCACTTTTTTCTTGTAAAAGAATGACTCTCCTTCATCAAGGGGGAGGCCTCTCTCCTCTCACCACTCTCCCATGCCTAATACTTTCTCTTTCTCTCTGGATGGTGTGTCTATTTTCTTCTTCATTTAGCTTGTAGCTCCACCATTAATGACCTATGAGCCTAAATTATGTACCGTGCACAATTCCCGATATCAATAAAAATCCCTCGTTGGCAAAGTACCGCCAAAAAAGGCACGTAGTTTTCTTCCAATTCGGTTTCCACGTCGAATTTCTTGTGTTTGTATTTTAGACTAGTTTATTCCATCATTTTTTGCACCGACCGTGGAACCGTTTGAGTTTTTTCTATAAGAAAATTCACTCACAAAATGCCACCAAACAGCCATGCCAACCAGCCATCAGAACACTACTGCCAACTCCGTCCAGGGACAGGTCACCACCAGTGTCGTGGCGGTGGAAGCCACCACTTCCCAAGCTCTCTCTACCGTTGTAATCCTTGTAGGGACTAACCAGGTCGTTGCATCACCAATCGCGGTGCCATCTGTTGGACAGATGCCCACTTTCCCTGTACCCGTAGCCAACTCGGGGGTGACTTTTCGACCCAGTGTTAGACAATAATACTAATATTACTTCTGGTAGTATTGGCTATGGTAGTATTTCAATTTGATTATTAATCAGCTTCTTATTCCTATTTGTAGTAGATGTTGTGTTTTAGTTAGTCTCCATTCTCTATTCCTAGTTGTGTTAGGAATCTCTTCTATATATACCCCATCATGTAATTCATAATTCAAGGAGCAATATTATTATTCTAATATTTCAACATGGTATCAGAGCGTGAGATTCTGATCTGGTAGCGTGAGATTCTGATACCCAGCATGACATAAGTCGTCGTCAATGACCCAGCCAACCTGCAGGTGATTCATGGGTTTGGCTAGGTTATGACCATGTACCAACGAGCGGGAGGCATGCTCTTCATTCTTGGGATGTACCATTTTGCACTGTCTAGCTAGTGCATAGCAGGTGTCGTCGCAGGCGCTCAATAATTCAAGTTTGATCATTCATTATCCGGGCATGCTTTGTTCAACCATGTGACATTCCTTTAGGACATTGCTTTGTCACAATGTGATTAGGCCAACCCATGCTTAGAAGGAGAGGTAAGATCAGAAGAGTGAAAACACAAGAATGGATGAGCTTGTTCACTCGGAGGACTAGCACTCACTGAGTGATCTCCCACTTGAGTTAGTCAGTTTAATGTTGTCGTTGGACTACTAGATTTTTAGTTACACCTCATATTTAGTTGGTTTTGTGGTCAATTTTTTTCACTCTAAACTAAAAAATTTATGTACTCGGCACACTTTTTTATTTTTGAAAGAAAAGAAGTGTTTTTGGACTGAGGGGGTACGGTATATGCCTCTTATTTTATTGTTGGATGTGGTATTTGCCCCTTATTTTATTTTTTTAATCATTTTTTAAAAACAATTTTGTTTAATATTAACTATTGTAATATGTCGTGTGAGATGGAATAAAATAAAGTTAATTACTTGCCATTAACGAAGTCAAAAAAGAAAAAAAAAGTGAGTGCATATCTACAATACGATATTCTAAAATCGCCCAAAAAATATATTCTCCCATCTGAAAAAGATCCTAAGATGGTCTACTGCTCTATTTTTGTCTGCATAATCATATTTAATTTGTGCTCATCAAATTTGCTACAAAAGTTATTTGTTTTATTCAAATGGTGAAAAATAATGCTAGCTCTTTACAAACAAAAATAAGGTGTAATTTTTTTGTTTTTTTTGTTTTACTCCCTTCGTCTCAGAATATTTGTCCATTTTTAATTTTTTTCAATTAAAATTGACAAATTCTGACCATAATTTAAATAAAATTGATATTAAATATTGATACAAAAATAATGTTATTACATTTTATAAAATATTTTCAGAATATTATTTTATTTAATTAATATATTAAATATACTTTATTTAATTAATTTTAGATCAAATGTTTAAAAAAAATTGACTACAAAAAATTAAAATTGGACAAATACTGTAATTTGCAATAAAATACGGCAGAGGCCACACCGTATTTAACAAATAAAACATATTCATTTAACAAAAAATTGTGAGGTTCATAATACCATTTTAAGTAAATCTCAATAAAAATCATTTTTTAAAAAAAAATCGGTAGAAAAAAGTAAAATAAAAATATAAATATGAGTAGAATAATTGAATCAAGTGCATCAATGTGGTGGAGACAGTATTAATTGGGAGTATAGTAGGAGGAGAATTGAAGTGGGTGAATATGATTGTGCACCTATATATTGTACTAATTGTACACCTATCATACCCACCCTTGCCCCTATTTCATTCTAATTTTGTACACTTGTTTTTATTGTGACATCAAATCTATGGTGTTTAATATGGAAAGAGATATACTAACGTCAATATATAATGGCATCATCATAAATAATACTACTAATGTGTTTCACATATAAATTCGCCTCTAAAATCCAAATATATAAAGTCTCACATTATTATTTGTATTTGAAATTATATTCCCTCCGTCCATAAATTTACTTAGCTTTCTTGTTGAACTATGTCGATGATTTTAGTGTCATTAGTGATTTTATGCAATTAGATTTATTTAGATCAGACAATAATTTAAATACATGTTAAACGAGTTAGGAAATACGAATTGCACTTGTTCAATAATATTAGAAATTAATAACGGTGTCCAAGAAACAGAGTCCCTCGTTGGGGTCGAGCATATCTATTTTGGAAATTTGTTATTTTGTACATTATCACTTTATGAAAATTCTTTGAAATTTCACAAGCAAGAGTCCAAAACGACTAGCATCCGAGCATATGGATAGTCCAAAATGTTCCAAAACAACCGCGTCATAAAAAAAATCTCAAATCTGCAATGTTTTTTAGTAACTCGGATGTTCCAAAAAAGTTTCATTTTTATAATTTTTTATTTTTTTTGATTTGTATTTTTCACTCTCCTCAATAATACTCTCAGACATAATTTCACTTTTCTTAAATTTTAGGTCAACTAAGAACTTTATAATTTGGGATGGAGAGAGTTAGTGAATTTAATACTTCTTAGATAGTATCCCACTATCCCCATTAATAAAGTTAGAAAAAATTAATGGGTATAAGCTTTAACTGATTGAAAAAATTTAAAAGAATCTAAAAGATTTTTAAGCTCCATAGTTTAACTAATTAATCGATCAATTGGATTTGACTTATGATTATTTATGATCCAATTAGGTCATTCTTATCTCATCCAAAATTCTATCGATACTAATACAAATGGTGTTTCCAAACAAACCCACAATTTTAAAATTCTTTTAAAATCTTGGAAAGCAACAAAACATCCTTTCTAGTGATTCTTTTACAAATATTAAATTAATATTACGTTCATGCATGCAATCAATTAAGAATCTCTTCATTAACTCAATAAGTGTTGACTATGTACTATTGTACTCCCCTGCCTTTTTCCCACAACAAGCTTAATTCTCACTCGGAGTTTCAGAAATTTATAAAAAAATATTAAAAAAATAAAAAACATATCATTAAAATTGTTTAAGAGGAATAAAGAAATTTTTATAACCACAAATTCTTTACTTTAGAATGAAATTGATTTTTTTAGAGGGATGGAAAATAAAATAGAGAATTTTTTAAGAGTTTTTTTTACATTACTTATCTCTCAAATTTTCAAAAATTACACGAATTTCCACTAAACTTTAAAAATTACACCAATGTCCCATGAACTTTTAAAAATATTGCACCAATGGATGGTCTCTCTATGCAAAATTTGGGAGTATAAATAAATCATACGTTATGTCGTTATCTAGTACAAGTATAAATTCATCTAAAGTCATATATCACACGTGAGTCCAGTAATTTGCTTTTACCAAACGTCATCTTCTACGGAGTATTATTTAAACCTCTTTAAACCCTAGATAATTAAGTATTCTCGATTTAGTAACCAATCCGAAGCCCGGACATCAATCAATAAAGCTTGTGATCAACAATCTACTTATTCATCAATCCATGACATCTTCATATATCAAGCTCCAACATGTATATTGATGGGCATGTGATTAACGCACTCCAAAACCTGGCGTGGAGCGACCATTGATGCAACATTTTTAAAAGTTCAGGGGTACTGGTGCAACATTTTTAAAAGTTTAGGAGGGGTAATGGTGTAACATTTTTGAAAGTTTAGGGGATATTGGTTTAATTTTTAAAGTTCACGGAAAATCTGCTTAATTTTAATTTGGAAAGTTCAGGAGTAAACACCGCGAAAAAATCTCTCTTTTTTTTTAAAAATTTTTTTATATTGAACCAAATGAATATATAGATACGTGGCCATGTAGGTGCCCACAAATATGTCCATCACTTAATTTTTTCACATTGTATGTACTGGCGCAACTATATGTGTTTGCCTCTTCAATATGCCAAATGCACGCACGTAATTTTTTTTCGACGGGTGGAGTAGTTGCAACATAAATATGTATGTAGGACCAAATTAAACTACATTTTTTTAAACAAATATTCCCTCCGTCCCTGAATATTTGTCTCCTTTTAACTTTTTTTGGTCAAAATGGGTAAATTTTGATATCAAATTAAACAAAAATGATATTAGATATTGATACAAAATGAGTTTTATTAGATTTATTGTATCAAGTATTTTTAAAATATTACTTTATTTGATTAAAATACAATATATATTTTACTTAATTATAGGTCAAAGGTTGAAAACATTTGACCGAAGAAAGTCAAAACTAAACAGATACTCAGGGACGGAGGTTGTAATAAATTTGACATTATTTATTTTACAGACACGTAATCATTATCTAAATTACACAAATAGTCATTGTCTGTACATATTTGTGAAACACACCACCACAACTTTACTGTTAATTTAAAGAGATTTACCCAAATACGAGCGATCCCATGCTTATTTTGTTTTATTTTATTTTTTATGAAACGGTTAATGAAAATGCATATGTGAATACAAATTATCAAAAGTCTAGAATAATTACTAGTGAGACAATATTTTAGAGACAAAGAATATATATACTTGTATGATTTTAATTTTTCAAAAATATTGATAAAATAAGAAACGAGAAACTCCTTTAGGGACAAAAAGTATAATATACTCCCCCAGCTTCAAAAACCTTTAGGGTCCGTTTGGTATAAGGAATTGGAATTGAATTCAAAAATTGAATTCACCAATTCCAATTCATTTTTTTGCACTATCAATTCTAAATCCACATAATTTTGTGCTACCAAAGTACCAAACACCAAAATTGAAATTGAAGTCCTTAATTTCAATTCTATAGTTTGAATTCCGTGTACCAAACGAGGCCTTAATGTTTTGACTTTTTTCTTCAAACAATGACACTTTTTGACCACAAATTAAACATAATCTAAATAAATAAATGATAGAAAACTTTGATACGAAGTATATAAAAACTATATCATATGATGAATCCAATTACGTTAAATTTATATTACAATTAAATGTATATTTTTTACAGTTTATGATCAAAATATGTCACTGTTTGACAAAAAAGACAAAACAAAAAATATTTTTATGACTAGAGGGAGTATGTATTAGAGTGGACAAAGAAATCTGTATATGCATGGCATGTATATATTGGTGGTGGTCTATTCTCATTTTTTACGTGCAAAAGGGGCCACATCTCATTTATTGTTTTGTCCCTCTCCCAAATTAATATTTTGCAACTTCATTTACTGTACTATATTTAATATTTTCATTGTCCAAAATAAATTAAAAAGCTTACTTTAAACTTTTATAAGATACACCCTCTTCGTCCCAATATGGCATGTACCGTTTAGTTCGGCGTGGTTCAATGCCCACAAATGATTGGTATCCCTCCTAATTCTTCCGATAAATCTAAACCTCTTGTCCAGTTTTGACCCCTACTCATCTCCCCACATATGTCAATTGCATCTGCAAGTATAGTTGACTTTTTAATTTAAAATTTTGATATCAAAGTTAACTAAACTTGCAAGGTGCAAATGACGTAGGGGGGATGAATTGGGGGCGAGATCACGAGGGGTAAGAACAATTAATTTTTTCGAACCAAGCACAGTATGTGTCTGATTCAGGACAGTATCTACTGTGCCCACTGAAACCTAGTGGTCATAGAACTGGGCCGCATTTTAATATGTTCAAACTTTGGACGTGAAGTGAAATATATTCCCTCCGTCCAACAATAATTTTCCCATTACGCGTTACGATGTTTGACTGAAGTTATTTTCAAATCAGTTTATAAGAAAAATAGTATGGAATTAAAATAAAGATTAAATATTTAAAAATACATGAAAAGATAGTAGAAAACTAGATGCATGACTGTATTGCTCTATCAAATAGACATTGAAAATAGGCTGACAAAGTGAATAAAATTTAAACTTGTAAATAATGAATGAGAATATTATTTCTAGACGCAGGGAGTACTCAATTTCTTCTGTTTTTACTTTTTAGTGATCACTAATTAGGATTGTGATAGTATAAATAAAAATAAATGGCTAGAATATTTGTTCGGTTTGATACTTTTAAATAATTTTAGACAAACTTTGACCACAAATTAAATAAATACAGTATAAAATTACAAATAAACACATTAATATAATTTTAAATATATTTTTTGCATAGTAAATATACATTTTATTTAATTAGTGATAAATAATCATTAGCATGACTGTAAAATGTCAAACTAGTAGTAGAATATTTTGAGACATAAGTAGTGTTAACTTTATGTGAATTGATTAGCTAGAAAATATAGTTGGACGACAAATAATAAATATTAGTTTTTACAGTAATCGCCACTATATATAGACACCACCAAGGTTCCCATGACATTGGGTTCCAATGTCATTGTGGGGTGCAATTGACGGGGATAGGGAGTGTTCGGGTTGGGGCGGGATAGGAGGGTTTACCGGGAGGTTAAGGGAGTAGGAACCGTCAATCTTACGAACGGAGCACCGGAACGCCCCCAGATCATCCCATGACATTGGAACCCAATGTCATGCATGGGAACCCCACCCATATAGACACACAGATATAGCAGGTAGGAAATTGACCATACCTGGAATTTGTGAGGCTAAATGCAGGGCACTATATGAAATGAAAGTGACCAGATAGGAAAGTGACCAACATATAAAAATATACGGCACCTAATGCACATGTTAAACCTTACCCTGTTTTTAATCAGTTAATAAACTACTCCCGGGTCCAACGGAACACCCCCGATGTCATACTATGACACACACACACACACCCAAAACTAGTTAATAATCTTAATTGATTTAACAATTACGGAGTATAAAATAAAATAACAAATGCAAATAAAGAAGTTTGTTAAGGCCCCGTTTGGTACACGGAATTCAAACTATGGAATTGGAATTGAGGGCTTCAATTCCAATTCTCGTGTTTGGTAGCACAAAAATTATGTGGATTTGGAATTGATAGTGCAAAAAATGAATTGGAATTGGCAGAATTCAATTATATGGAATTGAATCTCATGGAATTTCAATTCCAATTCAATTCCAATTCCATCAATTCCGTATACCAAACGGACCCTAAATATGCTTTTTTTAGTACAAAGAATAGGGCATTGTTTGGTAGCCAATTTTGACTTACCAATGTATAAGTTAAATTTGGCTGAAATGGATGCCACTAAACACAGAGTGTATATCAGAAGAATCACTACAATTCATCCAAATAATGCCCTCAACAAACAAGCCCTAAGTTTATTCCAAGCCCGTGAATCCGTGATACGATGATAATAGTATATGGAGGTATAGCTTCCTTTCACGCAACAAGTAATGAGCTTTGCCGTGTTTTGAGTCACAATCTAGCAGACAGCAATTGTTGGTTTAGGAGTGGTCTAATGTATTCGTGATACCCGTCGGGCAGAACCGAGTCGTTTAATGGGTCTTTCCACGCTTCCTCGTACAGCTTCGGGTACACATTTCCATCATACCGTCCGAGAACCGACCCAAGGAAGTGGTCGGTGTAGTTGAACGCATCCACCAGTGCAATAGCATTAGGGCGTACCTGCATATACAAACCGCGGATCAGGGGAGGTAGAGGTCTACTACTACTACTACTACTATAACTACGACTCCTCGAGCTTGTTCTTTTAGAATTAATTTTAAAAGGAGTATGATATCTAATAACATATGTTAGATGCAATAGTAATTTTCAGAGATAAGAGTCTGAAAACTGGATTCTTGGGGAGGGAGAGGGAGAGGGAGAGAGAGAGAGAGAGAATATGTCTAACACCAACTCAACCAAAAGCTCAAGCTTGTGGTTGTGGTCTAGAAAATGTTTTTATATTCTAACACGTCCCCTTACGTGCAAGCAAGAATGGTTTTTTGCTCTAGCCTTGCACGTGAACATTAATTTTTTTAAAACTGGGTGGTGCTGAAGTTCGAACTCGTGGCATCTTGGTCAACAAGACTTTGATACCATGTCAAGGAACCAACTCAACCAAAAGCTCAAATACGATGACAGAATAAGAGGCGTACTACTACTAAAGCTATGAGCATGTTCTTTTAGCTTTAGCTTTAACTTTAACTAAATTCTCGAATGCAATAATAATTTTAACACTATGTTTGGTTCAAGGAATTTAAAAAGGAAAAGAAGATGAGATGGAGCGTACATGCATGACTAGAAGGGGAATTATATTAGATGTGGACAAACCTGGGTGTACAAAGATCTTAGCTGATCATTAGCAAGTGAGGCTTGCTGTGGGGTAATGTAGTTGGTGGAAAGGAAGTCTCCTTGGTGTTTATGTAGGAGAAATAGAGAGTAGATGCCGCAAAGTGCCTCCAGCTGCTCCCTCACCCCTTTTCCCGGGATGTCTTGCTGCAATTTCTCCAAAAACCTGAACGACATATATTGAATGGTTGTTGAAGATTTTGACTCAGGGGCTGTTTGTTTCAGCCTCTTAATGGTTCAGATGTCTGAATGATTCAGCACTTAATGGTTCAGACTGTTTGTTTCAGCCTCTTAATGGTTCAGATGTCTGAATGATTAAGAGATTTGCCTCTGAATGGTTAAGTATTATACAGAGTCTGAATGGTTAAGAGCTCTTATCTGAATTGATCAGACATTTGCCTCTGAATAGTTAAACAATATACTAGCTCTTAATGGTTCAGACCTCTTACTGGTTCAGCACTTAATGGTTCAGACCTCTTACTGGTTCAGCACTTACCCATTCAGAAGTTACCAAACAGCCCCTCAATCTCTATCATTTCCCTTTGATGGGAAAGAAGTGAAATGTAAAGTTAATTTGGAGACGGATGGAAAAAGGAAAGTGAAACAGAGGGAGTAATACTGTGTCTAAAATGCATCATTAAAAAAAACCCCCCCATTGGCATTCCTCTCGGAAAAGGGTAAATTAAATAAACTTCTGTGTTTATATAATAGAAATAGATCAATACAATGATTCCAAACAAAGTTTAAAATGATATTTTTTTTTATGTTGAACATACCGTTTATTTTCTCCTAAATTTTATTTCCTTACAATTTTACTAGTTTTTCTCCATAGTTTTCCATAGCTCCAAATGGACCCCGAGTCATTACAATTGGAAGAAAGAAAGAAAGAAATGAATTACTTGGATACAACTATTAGTTGGCAGTGAGCAACTGCTGCTTCCACTAAATCAGCGGACAGTTCTGCAAAACCTGCACAAAACACGGTAACATGGAAATATGAGAGCACTTCATGTTATGAAAAGCCTAGCAGCACATATTATTAACCATAAGCAGCTGACATTCTCACTTGAAACAAAGTCTTTGTTTCAAAATCTTTCATATGATTTGTTTAAAATAAGTGTGCTTTGTTATATGATTTTTTTAATTCAAAGTGTGATTTGAATGTTTTAACCATAAGTGTGATTTGTTAACCACTTCAAACACAATCTTTGTTAACCATAAACTCTGATGTGTTTATATGATTTTTTTTTTAAATTTAAAAACTTTCATCAATTCAGAAAAAAAAAGAAAGGAAAGTGGGGGGGGGATCAAGTCAAAATTCCTATTTTCCACAATCTTCACTTTTGTTTCATGAAATTGAATAGGAAACTACACGTCTACACTGACTACTGTTTTAGTTTGCAACTTGTAAGATCAGATTCAATTATAAAAACCCACTAAATAAGACTGCACCAAGAATTAAATTAAATTAAATAAAGGAATACCTTCTTCTCGATTGGCAAACTCGCTCAGGTTCTTTGCACAAGAAACTGTCATTCTCACCGCCCTTGCTTCAAAAGCCTCCAAAACTGCAGTAGGGTTCAACCAGTCCTTGGCTGCATGGAATTATTCTTAGTAACAAGGCTCCATTTGAGGTTGTTAAGGTTCAGCGAGGTTAAAATTGACTAATTTACCTTGTGTAACTTTAGAACAACAGGTCATTAAATGCTCAACCCTCCCCATATAAGCTATAGTCCCTACGGGTGGTTTACCAGATCCTAGTTGGGAGACAGTCTTTACTAGAACTCGAGCAACCTAAACCACAAGATAACTGCTTAGTTCACAAGAAATGGAGTTAACCCCAATCATACTTCATCACACTTTAAATATCTGGCTTGACATGTTAAATTTTCATTGAAATTTAGAAAACATTTCCTCCCTCTGTCCCAATGATAATCCATAATCTTGATTAAGAAATGATTGTTAAGTTAGTCGAAACAATTCATTCTATATGCATTTTCCATGTTTGGTGACTAAGTAGGAGTGAACTTGGAAATGGAAATAAATGCACATACAACAAAGGAGTTGAATTATCTTTGTGGGATGAAGAAAAATAGAAAGTGGACTATCACCGTGGATAGAGGGATAAGAAAAAGATAAATATATCTAGCAAGCACATGATATGTAAATTTCAGATTCGCATTAGTTATCACATACTTGTAGGAGAAGCACAATGTTGTCTCCTTCATATGTACAAGTAGGAACATAAACAGCAAATAATTCTGGAAGCCCACTGCTACACAAGTAGCCATGGCCTCCACACAATTTACGGCATTCTTCAATCCCATCCTGCAAAGTTCAGTATTAATCATATCCAGAAAAATGCAAAAATGATATGGCTGAGACTGACACAACTAACTTTAAAGTGAACAGTGTAAGGAAAGCGAAGTAGTCAATTACAAGTTGAGGTGAAATAAGAATGCCAATGAGAGTTGGCATACAATCAGTTGTATTTCATTCATCCAGGTTTAATTTTGATTAACCTGAGTCTAGGGGATTCCCTTATTTGAACCTTTCAAAAAATGTCACTTTGTCCGATTCATAGTAATTCAATTCCGGCCATCAAATCAACCCAAACAAGAAATTATTAGAAATGACTACTGCTGGATTTAAAATGAAATTTTAAGTTGCAAGAAGAATGTCTCACAAATATCAAGTTGATCGTTGGGCACTTGATGCACCAGAATGGAAAGGAACAAAGATTAAAATTTGGATTTAGGGTTGATAAAAGTTTGTTTTTGGGATGTCAATTGAATAAAGTTAGTTTGTAAAGGCGACTTGATAACAAAAAGAGTGAAAGGAAGTGTTTGTACGTAGGATATATTTTATTTATGTGCTAATGGGGGGGGAGGGGGGTCATTTGTTTTCATATATATAATATATTTTCTTTTTTGTTAATCCAAGTAGAAGAGAGATATAAATGGAGTGTGGTACCTTAAGGGTGCCATAGAATTTGCTTATATTTTAACAAAAGTCAGCTCAATAAAGTGATATTGTTTGAAATGTATAAGATTTAGTTGAAATTCGCTCCAAAGACTGCTTGAAAAGTTAAAAGCAATATGAATGTTCTTTTGGAATTCAAAAAATATAAAACAAACAGCTTTTGAAATCCTAAAGCACTTTTTGAGAGTTCAAAAAGGCACTTTAGCTTTGTCAACATGAACTTAAAATGGGTACTTAGTCGTCCTTTACGTGTCTGGGCCAAATTTAAGCATAACCATTGAAAAGGTCCATTGGTACAAAGAAGAACGTGACAGCTAAAAACATAAGTTGCTACTGATTACTTACAGATGTAGCAGTGGTAGTCAAAGACTTCAACCCGGCAGTACATGCATGCACTTCAGGCAGTGTGGAGAAGTCACCAGCTTGCAATTTTTGGGTTACATCAGTGTACAACCATTTAAGCCACTCTCCAACAAATCTGAATGCATATGCAGAAGCCAGCAAACGGAAGAGCCTATTCTGCTGAGTTTTATAGTCGATTACCTAATTTGGGACATGTACGGAAAGCATCATTTACCAGTTCCCTCTAACGTAGTCCAACAACGATACACCATGTAGAATACTAAAAAAATTAATGTCGATGCAACTGAACAACTCAAATAAGTGAGCCAAAATAACCTGTGTTTCCTCTCCGCCATTTTGTGAACCAAATTGTCTACGTATGGCACTATATCTAGTAGCAATGCACACTGCACGAGACAAAGCAGAGGAAGCATCTGATACAATGCTTTGCCGTACAAATACCATGGTTCCATAGAGAATCTGCCGGGGAATATCAGATTGCACATACTTTCCTTCTCTTGTAACTTGTGAAACCCTTAGCATTTGAAAAAACAAAACTCAATACAGCCTAAAAAAGTATACATAGTATAATATTGCATGATTAGAGATGTATACAGTTTACATACCGCATTAACATCTGATCTCTCGGAATACGCACGTGATCAAGTCTCAACACCCCATTATCCATGGTGTTATATGCACCATTTCCAAATTTTGTCCCAATATCTCCAACCGTTATACCTGGAAGTGGTTTATGGTCCTCCAGGCTCCGTAGTTGAACAATAAATCCTGAAAACATGTGTCAAAAAACGTTTAATTGTTTCTCGCATAGAGCATTTATGCATTGTGATATGTAAAGCATTTTCCCTTACCGTTAACTCCATGATCTTTACCCTCAGTTATAAGACGAGCATAAACAATAGCATGGGTTGCGACTTTACCCAAACCACCAGGCCACCACTATCAAAAATACAAAAACATGAAAATTGGGAAATATTAATAATCTTATAACCAAAACAATTGACTAGTTAGAGAACACTCACTCATCCTTAAAAATTACTTAAAAGCCTCTTAACCCAAAAAAATGAGTTAAATTTAGCTAAATTAAAAAGTAAATTTTAAAATATAGCAAGAATTGATGGTTTCCATCAATTATATCGTACTAAAATCAATGTGCCTTAGTGAAACAAGCTAAAACTCTTATTTTTAGGAAAAAGGTACTAGAACGTAGTTTTTAACGTTCTATAATTGCCAAACCAATAGTTTGATATATGTGTCCCTTTATATGGGATTAGTAAGATGAAATAAAATCTTGCTTTTGCATGAAAATTTCTTCTTCTTCTTAAGAATAATATTCTCTATCAGTATAAGTCCACCGACCACAAATGCTATTATACACGAATACAACTAGAGGAATAAATGTAAAAGCACTATGCTAGAAATGGGCTGGATGTATCACCTTGCTTGAAGTCAAGGTCGGACTATGAATAATAAATTCATCTGTTTGGGGATCAAATGTAGCGGTGGTTTCAAGGCCTTGCACATTGGAGCCATGACCAAGTTCAGTTTGTGCATAGCAGCCAATTATTTGCATTTTGTATGCCAATGGCAACCACTTCTGTTGTTGTTCCTGCGTGCCAGATCCTTTGATAGCAGGAATAAACATCCCCTGGAGAGAAATTGAAGAAGCACAACATGAATACATACTGAAGGAACGGATAGGCATTTGCATGAAAAGTTAGGATCCAACAGGTAGGCGTTATCTCATTCATTTTCTAAAAGCAAAAGCTTTTGGTAAAATCAATTGTTGCCATTAACTTAAATGCTACCCATTCTGGTTATTTTGATTAATTTAATGATATGCAGAATAAATCGATTAATTCTACAAAACAGGGTCTTAATATTAGACTAAAATAATTATACAAAAAAGGCTAAAGAGTTTACCCAATGAAGATCACTAAAAGCAGGCTCATCTACGTAGAACCTCAGTTTAGTAGCCTCTTCCTCTGCATAAATAGTAACACTCCATATTAGTTTCAAAAAACAAAATTAAATTCTACCGAGTGAACAGTGAAAATAAAGTTTAATTAAAGTGGCAACTTGCCAGTGAGACGCAGTTCATTGATCCGTTTCCATGCATAAGATGCCTTCCTTAGTGTATTTTTAAACAGTTCCTTCCTAGGCATCATAGTCCTGTCATCTTTTCTAAAAGCCTAAAATCCACATATAAAAAGTAAAAATTATTGGAAAAGTACTCAAACATATACAGGGAAGGAGAAAGTCAAGGATTAGCCAATCACCTTTCAAGGTAAAAAAAGCATTTCCCCCCTGGAATTCAAGTTGACCTATTAGGTCCTCACTTTACTAGGATAAGAGTCCATAATTCGTCTAAAAAAAAATATACTCCGTATTTAATTATAATGTAAATTCAATATAATTGGATTAATGTTGGGATATAGTTTAGATTTATCAAATTATATTTAATTTGTGATCATTCACAATTTGACAAAAAAAATAATCAAAATATGGAGGGTTTTTTTGGGAGGGAGGGAGTAATTATTTATAATAAATTAATAATACTCCAAGAATAATTAGGATAATTGTAAACAAACGATTATCACTTTTGAACTGTACTTTTCGAGACTATAATTCTTCAGGAATCAGAATCTAGAGATTACATCAAAATCATCGCAGATTCAACCCTAATTCCACAAGATATCACAGTTAAACACAGAGCCACAAACATCGAAATCTTGTTCAGCTCAGAAATGCTAAAATTCCAAGGGATAAAAAAAGCAAGAGAAGCCGTACGGGGTCACCGGCGACGAGCTTGGAGATGCGATCGGAAAGTTGGAAGGCGTGGCGCGAGCCGGCCCAGACGATCTTCATCTCGTCCACGTCGAACTCCGCCTTCCTCCTCTCTCCAGCTAAGAAGTCCACTCCTTCCATGTCTAGCTCCGCCTTGATCCGCAGAAGAGATTGGAGAACGAAAAGGAAGCTTGACTGGATTCTGTGGAGGGAGGAGAAATGAGCATGGCGGTTGGTTGGTGGTCTGATTGGCAGATAAATATAACTATGAATGCGAATGGACAATGAACAGAGGCCCCACCAATTTCTGGATTTTTTTTTAATGGAGTAGTTATCCAACTAAGAATACAATTAGGGACCTGTTTGGTGAGATAAAGGTGGTTCAAATTTAATAGGGATTATCTCCTTTAGGAAATTAGAAATGAATTTGTTAGTGTTAGCCTATAAATACTACTTCGGTACCTCTTTCGTGAAATTGACAGTTCTTCGTCCTTCTAAATCTCTCACCCGTCCTGACCGGAATACACATTCTAAGTTAATTTTGACTTTAAAATCAATTGATAATAATATTCCATTTTGTACACACTACTGTTTTGCACTGGCAAACACTTGAATACACCACACAAGATCCTAGTGCAAAACCTTAATTATCAATCACACTAACATTATGTGTTAGTATATGCTAATGTTTTGTCGGTGTAAAGTTCTGGTGCACAAAATAGGGTATTTTTTTTGGAGTGAGTGGGTAACACTAACATTAATCATGTTATCCATTAAGAAAAATCAATATGAAATTTTGATAATTCCATCATTTGCTGGCTATCCATCCCCCATCGGTCGGGTGGTGGCAATATAGTGATCAACGTTGGTTGCAGGATAATGTGTTTGTCAATCATAGTGATTATACTTGTATTTGGTTATATTGAGAGTATTACATGACAAAATCGATGATCAAACCACAACAAAAACTAGCATAAAAAGTTCATAATTATTTATTGCTACCTCTCTTTTTGAATATTTATCCAGTATTGACTTTTTCAATCAAAATTAACAAACTTGATCATTAAATAAATAAGATTGATATTAATATTGATACAAAAATAAATGTATTAGATTTATTTTGTAAAATACAGAGTATTATTTTATTTGATTAGTATACCATATCATTTTTATTTAACTATAAGTCAAACGTTGAATATAGTTATGAAAAATCAAAACTAGACAAATAGTCATAAATAAAAGTAATACACTTTACATGAAGAATTATTCTTTTCAAAGATTCGACTATTTTAGTTACAAAATGGTGTGATTAACAAAGCTCTTAGATCGACAGATTCTAAATCTTTAGCTCAAACATTATACCAAACAATTGAGTAATAGGTGAAACTACCAAGACTAGGGAAGGCACGAAGCCTAATAATAAATCCATCCAAAGTTCAAACCAGCATTTCATGAAAAAATCAACTATTCTATCTAACTTAATGATTTGAAAAAGAGAGAGTTATAATTTTAATCCAACTAATATAGATACAGAGCGTAGTTATATTCTCAAGACTTCCATACATTATACATTTTGCATAACGACTTTTTTCACCGATTTCAAATGTCATATTGTGACTGCAAATTCTCGAATTGTTTTCATTTGTAGATATAACTTATCAATTTCAAACTATATCTTGATGTTTGGGTCAGAAAATGTAGCCCTTAATCTCTCCTCCAAGTAGTCTCCAGCACGAATTGGAGGAAATCTGTAAATACTCAAAACATGCAAAAAAAGAAAAGAAACAAATGTTACCAAACTCCGATTATTAATACTCTCCAAACACCTCAAAAAATGTTAAAGTTTTAGTGAACAATCTGAACTCCGATTATTAATACTCTCCACGTCCTATAAAAAAAGTTTCACATTCCCTTATTGTTTGTTTGAGATCCTCTTTCCTTTTGAGGAAGGAATTGTGGTTCACCTTTATTATTAACTGCGTCAAGTCAATTGAAACCTTATTTCAGAATGAATGGAGTACTTTTTATGAAAAACGATTCATAAAATGAAAATAGTATAAAATGTTTTTGTTAAAAATGTGTTAATAAAAGATTAAAAGTACAAAATTTATTAAGGGAACAGAGTATATACCTACAAGGCGATGACTCGGTGCAGCAACTCTCCAAACACTCCACCAAACAATCTGGGTTTGGATCTAAAAAGAAAGCGATCTGATGGAAAATTAAAAATGATCAGTACTAGAGACAATTTAAGTACCGCAAAAAAAAACAATTTAAGCAACAACATATACAACAATGATAGTAAAACAATGAAGACCAGACTATCAAATTCATGTGATGCTAAGTACAAATTTCAAATGCGGTTACTCAACTTTTGCCAAGCATTTCGTTTAGTCCATTATCAATTAACTCGACTCCTAGCCAAAATTTAGTCTTGTTTATCTCACTAAAATCCGTTGAGCTTATGTTTATACCAAACACACACTTAGGGTCTGTTCTTTCATTTGTGATTTACTGAACTGAGAAGTACTGGTCTGAACTGAACTACTGATAAGAAAAGAAATTTGTGTGCTGAACTGGAAATGAGTAAAAAAGAACATGCCCTTAGTCAAAGTATAAAAATTCTTTGCAGAATCACACAATGAATGATAAAGCCTGTGGAGCAAAGACTGTGGAAGGAATAAGACAACATCAAAGGTAAAGAAATCTTGGTGATTACGGAGAAGCGTTCAGATCCGGTTGGCATCACCCTGTGCAATGTTGACCTGAAAAGGATTTTCAAAAAAAAAAGAAATGAATGTTTCAATTCAACCAGCCCAATATGATCTGTATAGTTTAACAGTTCAGTAGCTCACTTAGGATCTAATGAGCAAATATGAAAAGCCTAGCAGAAAAAGTTAGAGTTCATCTCTCAGGGGGTAATAGAGGGATCTCAAAAAGTAGAAGCTTCCTTACTGAAACAGACAGTTTGTCCACCTCTCAGTCAAATCTCCTATGTTGACAATGAAAGCCCTGTAGAACCAAGTTCAAAAAATTTGAAGCAATCACAAAAATCTATCGATATCGAGATACATCAAAAGAAAAAAGTGAAACCATTTGTAGATTTTCAGATTAAAATAATTCTACATTAGTAATTATATTTAGTAAAGAAGCATATGTGAGTTTACCCGTGTCAATGAAAAAGATTGGAACTTAAGAAAAATGGGCCAAACAGTATGAATATACACTTCACAATACTAAAAATGCAGCAAGGAAAAAGTATTCATAGCACATAAGCTGATAAGCTTCAAAATTTTATAATCGGGTTTGTTATGAACTATAAGCAGCCATTAGACCTACCCACTCAGATAAGGCACATCTTCCCATATCTGTGGCTGTCTAAGTTTCTCCCTGCAAACCTGTTTAAACTAATATCCTTACTGCCATGATTAATAATAAGAAGTACTCCGGGTATTATTATTCTGTAACAACCTTTCATTAGGATTACACAGATTTTGAAAGAGCGATACCTGCAACCCTGGAACTCCATCTGTCATTAGAAGAGTAAGCATTCCATAGTCTGAATGAGCCGAAGCACCATATACTAATCGATCTGAAGTTCCCAATGGACCTACATGCACAGCTGGACAGAAAAAAACATTGATATTGATTTATCATACGTACGCCTAAATTTGAAACACTTAATAACTACATACTAAAAATCATGTGTTTATCCACAGTTCCACACTATCCAATTTAAAAACATATACTCCCTCCATCCCGAATTAATCGTCTCACTTTCTTTTTTATTCCGTCCCAAAGTAAATGTCTCACTTCCTTACTTTCCTAATAAAGTAAAGAATAGGTGGTCCACAATCTTTTTCTTTCCTCTAATCAAGTTTCAACCGCTCTTAACTTTTCAACACTTCTCTTAAACTCTGTGAAGTCAAACTGAGATGATTAATTTGGGACAGAGGGAGTAAAATATTTTTCTATCCATCTAATACTAAAATACTTGAAACAAAAGGATGAGATTCAATCTGATGCACATGATGATGTACTTTTCAGGATACAAGCATGTAAAATTAAAAAAGAAACTATCAATCTCTAGTCATATGGTTCTCCGTTGGAATAACAAAATCGGAAATCTTGGAGAAAGTGATGCAATATAAGTCTTAACTAGACAAGCAATGGGATAAAGGTCCGTGAGAGTGATGCAATAAATTAAATTCCAAAAGAAGCAGTTTCAGGTGTTCACCTGGATAGTGTAGCAGACGGAGGAAGCCTTCTGCAGGGTTAAGTGCACCAGCTTTATCAAAGAAGTCTTCATCCAAGTTCAGTGCCAAAGCAATCATTGGAGCCAGTTTCTTTCCAGCATTCCTGAGAAAACAATACGCCTCAATAATTTAGTTGTGGCTGATTTACATAAAAAAAAGGCATATTGGAACTGATTTGCAGGTTGGAACAAAAGCTGGCTGAGCAGAACTGGCTGTACACAATTCGATTGCATGGTTGCTCCATTGTAAAAGCTGCACAGTTCGACCGTCAGTTGGTCCAACCATTGAATACACCCAGTCTAGCCCGGTATTAAAACACTGGAATAAATTAACATGTTATTGGTCCAACTGATTAAGTTGTGAACTTTGAATGCCTCAGCATGATTAACACACAAGTACTATACTCCATACTTTTTTCCCGGAATAAAAAACCAATAGGTACCCCTAATTATTTTTCATGGGTTTCACTTTAAATTGTTCATCTTCCTTTACACAGAACCAGTTCAGTCTTCATAGGAAAAAAAAAGATGATTGAATATTGAAAATGAAAAGAAAAAAGAATATCCCTACAAGACATTAATGTAGAGGTATAAAAAAGAAACAACTTGTCTTTGCTAAAAATAAATATTCGTATGATACTTACATGACTCTTTTATAGTAAGTTTCCATTGTTGCTTTCCACGATGGTAAATTCTCTACGAGCTCATAAAAGCAAAACATGCCAAAAAATCATTATAAAATCCCTCCCTGATTCAATGAATTCCGGATCTAATATGCATTTGGAAGCAATATAAACTGTTATATCATAAACAAAAACAAACCACAAACCCAAACTACACAAAGCATTATTATTTTAAGTATTGCTAGAATAAATTTAAAAAATAAGTATTTAAATAACCTTCAGATGGCCATTGGTTCAAGTCACTGAGTTCTAGAGGACCAATGTAGAAGCTTTCTTTTGAATCGCCTGATAATGACATTAGAGGGAGATCACAGTTAATCCAACATAACAAATAAGAACATGAAAGAATGATTTCTTGAAAACTTATTCACTACAGCTACTTCCATTAGTCCCGTAGTACCACTTTTCAAATGAAAATCATTCAAAAAAACATTCCTAAAACTCTTACTAAAACAAAATTTTGAGAATGAGATATCTGGGTTTCGTTTGGGAATTTCGTCGAACAATACATGAGGGCCAAGCAAACACGCTTGAAAATTAGAAATCGCCGCAAATCAGTACATCTAATTGAAACGGACCTTTAGAAATTACAGAAGGATCGAGCTTCTCGTCATAGAGAGGAGAGTACCCTCGGTGACGCTTGTGAAGAAGCTTCATCTTCTCCGCTTCGGACAGAGAGAAAAACTCTCTGCTTCGCTCGAACACTTCGCCGACCAGGCTTTGCTCGACTCCGTGGTTTATCAGATAGAAGAAACCGAACTCCATACATGCCTGCGCCAATTGCTCTCCATTTTCAGTAGCGGGATTTTCTAAGTTTCTCAGACGGCTCGAGAGCTAAAGAAAATACCTGGCGAATGGATTGAGCAGTGCCGATTCGGTCCGGAGAAGAAAGGTCGATCACCGGAAGTTGAAGTGTACTCGCCATTTCTGACCGCCAGCTTTTGCGCGGTGGTGTAAGGTTGTTTGGTTGGGAGGAGTGGTGGCTTACATTTGCCGCCTAGGAAAATGCTAGAAACCAGCTACCACCCATGCCCCTACGGCCCTACATAAGCATAGTAAAATTAAATTTAGAGGGTGGGTGGAGAATAGGTAGAGATAAATATGTGGTAGAGAAGTGGGTGGAGGCAAGGTTGGTAGCAAGGGTGGGGCGTGTAGCATGATCCTTGCCACCTAACCCCTAGACAGTAAACTAGCCAGGCACCATAAAAACTTCTACTCCACCGCTTATATTAGATTTTTGATTTAATCACTGTAATGAATAGATGAAACAATAACTAATGTATAAAATGTGGTTTGTTTGATATTGTTACTGCGTAAAGAATATGAGGTATTATATATTGAAATAGCATATACGAAGTAATAAAGACGTATTTATTTTATTAAATATACTTATAATTCCCTTTTTTCTTCATAGAAGTATGCATGTGTGCTTATAATAATTTTAAATATCTCATACGAGTATTTAGTTTAACTAGATTACATACAAAACTTTTCCTCATCCATTATTAATATCTCAAATGACAAATATATCATTTAAGTCATTTTATCTACATAAATTTTTTTTAACTTATAAACAACTTTTAAAAACTACTTATAATCACACTGAGAAATCGGCTGGGTTCAGTGACCACGGAAGCCACTGTTCTCATTCTCCGTTCGTAAAATTGATGATTCATACCCCTTTTAACCCCCGATAACCCCCCTGCCTAGTCCCAATCCCAACTCATCCTGCCACTTACGTCAATTACATCCCGTGAGTATATTAGATTTTAAAGTCTAAATTTTTGACCTCAAAGTCAACTAAAATTGCGGGGTGCAATTGACGCAGGCGGCGGAATGAGTTGGGGTTTGAACTGGGCAGGGAGGTTTGCCGGGGGTTAGGAGGAGTATGAATCATCAATTTTACGAACGGAACATCGCAGATGTCTAATGGTGTAAATTATCTAACCTGGTAAACAGTACTATACGGGGTCTAGGATTGTTTACTAGATTCGGGAAAGTAAAATGTAAAAACACACAAAGTAACCGAAATGACTGTAGGTGAAAACATCTGTAGTTCAATTAATATTTGAATATAGTAGAGTGAACGGGAGCTTTTACACAGGAGTTTTAGTGAGAAGAAATCAAATCTCTTTTTTTAAGGGTTACAACGGTATTTATAGTAAGCTAGAGGAGAGAAGGTGCCACACATCCACGCCAGGGCACGTTCCTGGGTGGTACGAGGTGACTGTCTCTGTCCTCTAGTGGCCTTATCACCTAGTAAGAAATGTGACTTCTTTGTCACGTAGGGGGTGTTTGTTTTTTATGCAGGAAAAGGTCTGCAGTGTGCGGACCACTACTGTAGACATATGCAGGAGAAGTGGTGGACCGAAGGTCTACGGTCTGCGAGAAGAAGACTGTTTGTTTTTAATGTCTGTAGAGTGCTATATAAATTAATGGTGGTGTACGGTGGTGTACGGTGGTGGTGTATGAACGATTGTGGTGGTGGTGAAGGGTGGTGGTGGACGTTGACGGTGGTGGTGGACGGTGGTGGTGGTGGCGGTGGTGGTGGACGACGGTGGTGATGGACGGTGACGGTGAATCGGTGATTGTGGACGGTGGTAGTGGTGGACGGTGGCGGTGGTGGTGGTGAAGAGAAGTAGAAGAAAAAAATGGAGAAAATGTTAGAAGACATATCTTAATGTCTTATCCAAGAAGATGCTAGGAAGACCTTTTTGAGTGAAATGTCTTTCAAAAAACAAAACAATCTGCAGAGCTCAGCATCTGCGCGCGTCTGCGCGGCGCAGACAAAAGAGGCCAGACGCTCTTCTGGCCAAAAAACAAACACCCCCGTAGTGTTTTAGACGAATTGCCTAAGTATCTTCAATGATTCTCCGTTGAACTTGGCCATTACAGTCCAAGTCCCTTTGGATTCTTCCTTACCGACACCCAAACTATGGAAATCATACCGGGTAAATTCCCATGGGATGAGTTTATTGAAATCGGAGATCATGGGTGTAAGTCGAGTAATTTGACGAGTAGACTATCCGAAATACACTCCCAGTGTCGTTCCGTCTTTCCCATCTCAGAGATTTAACCTTGACCGGTCAACTATTTGAAGGTCTTTCTTTGACCGGTTCTGGGTGAATACACCCATCAGTGTCTGAATCGTGACAGTGTTTTCCGTGGCCACTGAAACCCTGAAGCCACGGAACCAAGCCGCAAGAAATACTCACTTAATACTGGTAATACAAAAATACTAGAGGTATATCCAAATGTACACCACCCCATCCAAAATGAGTGGCTATGGAAGGAAATGTACATTTGGGGTATACCCCTAGCATTTCCCATAGGTAATATTGAGGTGTGCATTGAACAAATTTTTGTGAAATGGATGGATGTAACCATTTTTGGGATGAATATTTGAGAAAAAGTCATTTATTGAAATTTACTATCGTAATGCCCCTCACGGCGAGGAATTCACTTTGAAGGCAAATCTTCTGTAAATCCATTTCTGTCAATTTCTTCACTAATTCTGCGTTTATTGAGGAGGAGTTTGAATTGTGAGTAAAATTAATCCGATTTAATTTTGTTTTTGCTTCCCTGTCTGTTTTTTGTTCGCGATGTTCAATATTGTCTGGGTTGGATTATTGTCTCATTAGGTCTGAAGAAGTTAAATCTGAAGTTTTTCTTTAGGGTTTTTGGACATGTTTTTTCAACTTTATATTCCAGTATCTGGATTTTAGTTAAAATTACCTAAAATATTCATATTAGTTTAAATTACTGTTGCATTGAAACTCTACACTTCATGATCTAGTTACTGGATTCCGACACTCCATCTTCAATCTCTAGATTTTGATTTCAAGACTACCAGACACCATATATTCCAGACTATAGAAATCATATTTTAGTTAAAATTGATAGCTAGAAGCTGCCCTCCCTTTTTTTTTGTTTCTTCTCGAGTTCACCATTTTCTTGGTGAATGTGTAGGATTTCTTATTGTTAAACATGTGTTTCTTTTTTAATGATGTGAATTGTTTCTTTAAGGCATTGGATGTTTTGTTGTATAATTATGAAGTATGGTATTTTTTCCAGCACATTTCCATTCCCCTATGGAGCCAAAGATTCACTATTTTTTGACTCTGAAGTATGATGAAATAAAGCAAGTTGGCTTTTTAAACTGTTCTTGCAATTGTGAAGTAGCAGTTAGTCAATGCAACTTTCGACGCTCATCACGGGTCATCTAGAAACAACATCTCTATGTTTTGAGCATAGGGGTCAGACTGCGTACATCCGGCCCCCCTTACCCCGCAATTGGTGGGAGCCATTGAGGCACTGGGATAATGTTGTTGTTGTATTTTTTTCAAGATGTTGCTCTATGGTAGTTTATCTCGTGGTCCTTTTGATTAGAACTTGATGCATTGATTGATAATCTGAAATCTTTGCATATATTGAAAACTTGAGATATGGTAAACTATAGATGGTCTTTGACTGTTTGTGCTATAGAACTTGAGCTATGGCAAACTATAAATGATAACATTGATTGATAATTGTTGGAAATGAAAGGATCAAATTGTATTAACTAGCTCAAATTGTGTATTACATGGTTAAGTCCTATATATAGAAAATGAAAAACAAGTAACAACCAAAAATATCTTCTTAACAAACTAACAAACTGTGTAACTAATCAACTAAACAAGATAAATGGTGGTTTACACCAACAATAATCTGGAATCTTTTCCACCTGCTTGGAAAGATGTGTTGAGTATATGGCCTCCCCAAGAATTTATTTATGTAATTTTACCAAACACTAGAAAATGTTATGGTATTTGATTAAATCTTTTCCATGGAAAGTCTATATTCTTGAAACAAGTTACCTTTGTACCAAACACAGCCTTAATTAAAGAGTGATGCATTTATTTGTTGGCTTAACTAAATTCAATGCACTTAAGTTGCTTGGCACACTTTATTTTTTACGGAGTATTCAATGCACGCTTTTTGCTTTCTGATACTAGAGTATTACTCCTTTTTTGGGACAAGTATAATCTTTCAAACATGATTTTTTTTTGGGAAAGAGGGAGGAGGAAGTATTTTGATTGGTAAACTCGTACGGGTAAATCATACAACATCAAGACATGTATAAAACGATTGCTATATATTCTAAAGTCCTTCTATCCTATAATTAGTCATGGGGAAGCCTAAGGATTCTGGTGGGAAGGGCAAGGGGAAACAGGCAGCAGGTGGAGGTGAAGACAGTACTTCAAAGGGTAAAGGAAAAGGCGGAAAGGGAGATGGCCTAGGGACCTGCACTTATGTTAAAGGTGTCCTTCTTCTTCTTCTGGCAACATTTTGAATGCCGTTCTACAAATTATGGCTGCTTAAACCTTCATTGTTTCTTACTGTCTTTGGAGTTTTAGACAGTAAATGCAGCAATGCATTTAGGGTCTAATGAAAACAGTCTCTCTTTTTTACATTGTTTATTCAATGTCTGAATACAAGTGATTGATGTTTGTTTTTTTTTCATTTTTAATTTTAACCAGCTAGGCATATTTTATGTGAGAAGCAAGGTAAGATCAATGAAGCATACAAGAAGCTGCAGGATGGCTGGCTTGACAATGGGGACAAGGTTCCTCCAGCTGAGTTTGCCAAGGTTCTTGTTATTTACTTCCTAGATTTCTAATTCTCAATAATTGATTCTATTTATAATTTTGAACGTACAAAATTATGTGGTGCGGTTCTTTTTTATGACCTTACTTGTGCTATAATTCTTTTGATACAAAAACTCCCTTTAGTTGTCGACTTCTTGTTTTTGTTTGTTCTGATTTATTTGTCAACTCTTCATATTCAACAAAGTATGACGAATTATCTAAAATACGCTAGAGACAGGATATCTGTCAGGTTGTGGAGCCCGATGTTATATTTAATGTAAATATTATAATTCACGCGGTTAGCGTGTATTTTCTATAACTGTACATACTCTGAAATCATTAAAATATACTACGTATATCCCTATACTATCGTTGAGTTTGTCAACCAAGAGTGTTCATCATCCAATTTCGAATTCTATATCTATATTCGTGAGTGTGTGTGATTCTAATAGAATGAACATTGTTGGCATGAACAAGTGACACTCATTTGAAGGACTTAATTGACATTTTAAACTCATTCATAAGATGAGATTTTTGATAAAGAAATGGACAAATAAACCCGAACAGAGGGAGTATATTCTTATGCATTCAATAACTTCTAACATTGCATTTTGTTCTTCAGCTAGCAGCAGAGTATTCAGAATGTCCTTCAGGGAAGAAAGGTGGTGACCTAGGGTGGTTTCCTCGCGGCAAGATGGCGGGTCCCTTTCAGGAAGTTGCGTTCAACACACTCATCGGAGCCACCAGTCCCCCGTTTAAATCTACGTGAGTTTCATCATCACTTCTTTTCAAACACTCTTTCTCAGTCATATATATGCGCGGATTTATGAAATTCCTTGTAACCCCTAATTGCAATTTGGGTCTTTTTGCCTCAAGTTATCACTTGCTCAATTAGACATGAGGTTCTTTTTTAAGCTCCTAAGCATATGTACTTAGTCACAAGTAAATGCTTGTGTATAATTGGCAACCCTCAAGTGGAATTTGGGGTTTTTTTGCCACAAGTTGCGACTTGTACGTTCGAGTAGACATGAGGCTCCTTTTTTAAGTTCCCAAGTCTAGGCTCAAATACCATGTACAATTGTGAGATTTCATCTCAAAACCAATTGGCGACCCTCAAGTGCAATTTGAGTCTTTTTTTTCCTCAAATTTTTCACTTGCTTCGAATAGAACTAAGCTTATCTTAGACCCCGACATCACGTAGAATTATGAGATTTCATTCCAAAACCAATTGGCAATGAAACGACCAACTCATATGCAGTTTTAATCTTTTTTTAGCATGAATGTTCGATGTTGTACTTTATATCTTCATCAATATGATTTACTCCATTTACTTCAACGTACACACAACACAACTGAGGGTATGGGTGGAAATTGGAATGCCCACCCGAGCGCCCCCGCACCCATATCGGTTGCAGACATATATACTAATAAGACACGTCTTGTCGGTTGCAGACATGGGTACCACATTATCTTGTGCGAAGGGAGGAAGAACTGAACCGGGACACCCCCCCCCACCATTGGCAAATCCTATGATCCTTGTGTTTGAGACTTTGAGCATGTCATACTATATGCATCAACATGGTGAATAAAATTGTGGACATCTTCAATGTAATGATGGTTTTGTATTTCACTCATTATTCGTTTTGATACCGGCTTTGAATGTCATATTATGACCCCTGCAGTGTCTTCTTGGAATCGCCAAAATATTACAGTGTCACTCTAACGTTTTGGCGATTCTGGATAGGGGTAATTGAAAGGGTTTATGGGAGTAGAACTCGCACTCAGATGGCTCAGTGTTATATTATCATATTATGTTCAATTTGCGTTTATTGTCATTTGAGCTTAGACAAAAAAAAACTCATTATTACAATGCTTTTGCTTCAGGTAAATAATGAACTAAATGGAAAATGTCTTCTTTTCCCATTATTTTGTTTAAAAATAAATGGTTAAATTGCACCGTTGGTCTTTTTAGTTATTGAGTCATGCATAGTTAGCGTTGTATGATTGGTTTTTCTGTTAATTATGTTGTGAGTCATATTATTCATTTTCCGCCATAAATACACGTGAGGAATATTTTTTCGTCATACAATTGAACCTATATTAAGGGGCTGTTTGTTTCGGCCTCTTAATGGTTCAGATGTCTGAATGGTTCAGTACTTAATGGTTCAGACTGTTTGTTTCGTGAGCAGATGTCTGAATGGTTCAGACATTTGCCTCTGAATGGTTAAGTATTATACAGAGTCTGAATGATTAAGACCTCTTATGTGAATTGATCAGACATTTGCCTCTGAATAGTTAAGCAATATACTAGCTCTTAATGGTTCAGACCTCTTACTGGTTCAGTACTTAATGATTTAGACTTCTTACTGGTTCAACACTTATCTATTCAGAAGTTGCCAAACAGTTCTTAAGACAACCTTATTATTACCAAGTATTATTATTATTATTATTATTATTATTATTAATTTATTATTATTAAAAGAATTATCCCTTAGTCATGATTCGAACGTGTCGGTGATCAATGATCTCCACATATTCCACGTGTCAGCACCTAAGCCCTCCAACCGTCACATATTTATTCCTACACGTTACATGCATATCCATGCAGACAACGTTGTTCTATACCCCTCTCTTCTTTACCCTCCATTTCATTTTTTCTTTCTTATTCCCAAATCCATTCAAATAACGTTTTTTTTTCTCTCATTCATTTTAACCAAAAAAAAGAAAGAAAAGAAAAAATTGAACTGTAAAATGCCATCATCAACACCAACATCCTACCAGACCATAGCCAAGACCACCACCGCCGCAACCCTCGGCGGCGTGTTCCTGCTTCTCTCCGGCCTGACGCTCGTCGTAACCGTCGTGGGCCTCGTTGCCGCCACGCCAGCGCTGGTGGTCTTCAGCCCGGTGATCATCTCCGCCGCGTGTGCCCTTTCCTTGATACTCTCCGGTCTGGCGGTGTCTGGAGTTTGCGGCACCGCGGCCTCCTTCCTGCTCTACTGGATGTACTGTTACGCCGCCAGCCGGAAGGCGGCAGACATAGCAGCCGGGATAATTGCCGGGGGAGATTATGACGAACGTCAGGTTCCGGTGGAGGTGGAGGAAGAGGAAGACAGCTTGGGAAGAGACATTGATGTGGATTAAATTAAACAAAGCACTTTTTCAACAAAATACTTGCATATATTTTTCCACTTTCTTTTAAAAAGTCTATTTTATCCCAACTAAATCACATACGGAATATAACTTATCATGTCACTTCTATTTACTACTCTATAATAATTTATTTATTATATTTTACTTTTATTTGTCACATCAAGAGTAAAATTAGAATGTCAACCGCAAAATATATCCTTCTTATATTTTCCGTACTTTCCAATAGTTGAAATAGGAATAGTTTTTCCAAACGGAACGAGTATGATATGGGGCATGTCAATTAATTAGAGATGGAAATTAATCAAATGGCAATAGATTCAATGCTTAATTTTAATCTTTTTTAAGACGACATTATTTAGTTTTAACTGTAACGTTTTTCAAGGACCCTATAAAGAATAAAGTACTTATTAATAAGTTATTATACACTTTGTACTCCTTTGTTTTGCTAAAGAAAAGTATAAGGAAAAAAACAAAATGTATTACGCGTATAGTTGAAATATCTGTTGGTTAGGTCGGGTTCGGTTCGGTCATTTCATGTTTGGGTTATTTTGAGTTTAGGTCAATTCGGGTTCGGGGTGAGAACTGTATGTTCATAACCCAGTGGCATCGAGTTCGGATCGACCCAACGGGTTTTAACCTTAGCTTGGTTTTTAAAATTTTTAAACTCACACTAATACTTACATTTTTCTATTAAATAAATTGAAAATATCAAAGAAAAAGTATTAAATCTATAAAATTATTTTATTTTAAACTCTAAAGTAATTTTTAGATATATAAATCAATAGAAGGAATTTAAAAAAGCTTAAGTTTTGGAAAAAAGTAAGATAATTATGCAATATCATTAAAATCTTGTCTGAAAATATAAATTTATAAACTAAAAATGAGTAGAAAATTGTATGATTTTGAAAAATTCTTACTTTAGCGGGTCGGTCAGGTTGGGTTCAATTCGGGTTCGGTCGGGTTTGACCCATTCTTAACGGGTCATTTTGGATTCGGTCATCAAACCTTTATTCAAAACCTAGTATTTTCAGGTCAGGTTTTGGGTCAAAAATAGGTCGGTTCAAAATAAAATGTCTCTTACTTGGTGAGTTAAAGAGGAAATACTATTTTTTCTTCTCTTTTTTCATTTGAATACCTTGATCAATGATAGTATGGAATATTAATGTAAAAATTATTACTTAGTATAAGAATTTAAAGTTTTTAATCAAGGGTGAGACTCAACTATTCAGAATAATCCTAATTTTACCTAATCTTTCAAAAAACAACTTCATTGCATTTTTCATTGTGATGCATAATATTTCTAACTTTATTGAACTTTAATAGTACATTCTGAGTTGCCGTTAAGTTGCTAACTATAAGTTAATATATACGGCATGTTTTGCACAACGACATGAAAGTTGAGATTATTCTTGATTAATTTTTAATTTTTATTTTTTAAAAAATTTTCATTGAAAATTTTAAAGCACTTTGTACCTCTATTATTTTGTTTTCTTTTTTAAAGATTAGTCTTACTTTTAAAAATGAGGAATTTACTTAAATAGCACTAAAACATAACGACTTTCCTTAAATAGCACTACATGTGTTTTTCTTCCCAATATAACACTTTTAGTCATTATGCATTAGTCATTATTCAAGTAAATATTTGTCATCACTGGACATTATCAAGTGCTATTTAGGGAATAAAATAATTTACGTGCTATTAAGGGAAATGACTTAAGTTTTAGTGCTATTCAGTGCAAATATTTCTTTAAAAATATAATAATAAAAGATATAAAAAATAATGAAAAAGGAAAAAAGTAATTAACTAAAACGATACAAAACTAATGAAATAGATAAGGTAATTAATCAATAAAAACTAACTTGAAATTGGTAAGAAATAAAATAAAAATATACAGAGTGGTGGGTTTTAGTATTATATGAACTATATAAAGTATTAATGTAACACTTATTTTTATTTTTTTAAAAATTAACTTGAATAAGTCTTACTTAACCGGCCGACTTGTTCTTTCAAGAAATAAGTAGTACATTAAGACTCTGTATAGTGAGTAAAATTTTAAAACTCACCAATTCATATATAATTATTTTATTTCTTACCAGTTTCAGTTTAATTTGTATTAGTTATCTTGTTTATTTCATTATTTTTTTTATGATTTTAGTTATTTTTCTCAATTTTGCTTTGCTTATTTTTTTTATTTTTCTAAGGTAAGACCAATTTTTTAAAAAAGAAAAAGAAATGGATGTAGAAACTAATTTTAAAAATTAAAATGAAAAATTCAAAAAAATAAAACATAAAAATTAATAAAAAATAATATTAATTTTCATTTTGTTGTCTAAAAAAGGAATTTTCATTTACTTTCTATTAGCAATTTAACGGCGATCTAAAACTCACGAGTTTCAATAAAATTTGAATTGGTGTTACAGTGAAATGCACGATAATTTTTAAAAGACAAAAATAATAAAGTAGGGGAAGGAGATAAGGTGGTTGCATCATGGAGAAAAGTTGGCTTTTTACCTAAGATGCTATGGTACGTCATCATTTATATCTTTCCAATACGCAAAATATGAGGTTCGGACCTAATCCGAATTAATGGAGAAGTTGCATTCGGACATTATTTGAGGGTAAATTTCAATGCATAACTTTGAGCGGTAAATTATTTTGGTACATAAACTTTATTCATAAAATAAAACTAAACTTTAAAGAAATTTCACAATAGTAGAATTTGAGTGTAGTTGTAATTTTATACTCTCTCCGTCCTAAAATTATCTTCTCAGTTACCATTCATACAGTCAAACTTAAATTACTTTATTTACCTATTTTCGTTAGCTATTTGATAAAATAATATAGTCTTGTCACCTCTTGTTTTGTAGAACTTTTGATGTAATTTTTAAATATAAAAATTTTATTTTATAATTTTACACCTACAATCAAAGAAATTAAATTGAAAATAAAGTCAGTCAAATTTCGTAAACACAAACGGGAAATAATTTTAAGAGGGAGGGAGTATATTTTGGATTCCCCATCTTTTCTTTTCCTTCGTGTTCTTCTTCAAGAGCCCCGCTTCTATCCTTTTTAAAGAAGAAATAGGAGAAAATATGAGAAAAAATGAAATGGTGTGATCAAAATTTAAATTAGAAACATACAAAAATGCAATTCATCTCAAAGTGACTTGAGAGTATTCTTGAAACCGGTCCATTTTATTATTTAACCGATTAAATCAGCCAAAAGTCATTTCAGAAGTCAAACTTTAAAAAAAAAATACCTTAGGCAGTAGTAGATTAAGAAGAGCTTAACTAAGCTATAATTTTTAACTAGTTAGGAGAGAGTGAGATCATTCTCTTTTACATGCAAGAATTTCATGCTTAATGAGACAATTCTTTTTCATTGCTATCTTAATTCGAATCTGAGTGATTCTGTGTAGCACTACACCAAGTTAAAATTTCATTTTATGGTGGTACTAAGGAGACCCCAAGAATTGCACACCATATAGTGCACAACAAAGTAATCAAAGACACATTCAAACACTAAAAAATTGTGCGTGCACCCACATTGAATATCTATGTATTTTTCTGATCCTATTGGTGTGTATTTCTAGAAATCACCCTAAATAAGATTAAAATATAAAAAAAGTACAAAAATAGAATTTTCATATTTTTATTCACGAAATAGGACTTCACATGATGGTAATGTGACAGTGTACACGCGCACATTATTATACTTTTTGGTAATAATGTATATGACCACGTTTGGTAACGTAAATGTATATTAACTTCTATTTCAAGAATAAAAACATAAAAATTATATTTTGATATATTTTCAATGTTCTATTCATACTTTAGCCTTTTTCCCATTTTTCTTGTAGTCCATCAAGTTTTCTCCTCGCGCAAACAAGAAAAGTTATCGAGAGAGGAGAGTGAAAAAAATGGTAATCTAGAGGTAGTAAATAAAAATCAAAAAAGGAAAATCTATCTTCATTGTTCGACGGTGAGCCTTTGAGCTCCGAAATCAGCTCTGCTTTTCCATGTAAGTCTCCCGTCATTCTCTCCGATCCTCTCCTTTCCCACCTCTGCCTTTTCTCCTTTCTCTTTTCCTCACAATCTCTCTGGATCGCTCGGCGGACGTTGCGGTTATGGTAGCTTAGGGTTTGTTTTTTCCCCTTTCTGAAGAAAAAGGAGGTTTGATTTTGATCGATAGGTGCTGTTTCTGAGGGCCGGTGCTGTGCAATGACTCGCGCTGACAACCAGTTGATTTCCGTCAGTCCTGACGAACTCAAGTTCCAATGTAATTCCTTCCTCTCTGTCCTTTTGATTTTTCTCTTTGGATTTGGATTTGCTTTGCCTGCATCGTTTCGTTCGTGTCTGTGAATTGTGTGCACAAATGGCGATTTTGAATTCCTGCAATGGCGGTTGCATTGGACATTGTGGAAATGCAGGGATTTGAGTCTCCTTCATTATTATTACGGACTACTAATTATTACTCTGTATTATTGTTGTTGTTATTATCATAATACTCTTCTTCATTTTTTAATAATTTAAAGTATGATGTTTTAGGATGCAATATGAACATAGAACACTTGTATGTATTTAGGAATGGATAGTATATATGAAGATCTGGAATGGTTTCAAAATGTTTTTATTTGCATGAAGGAATTTTTATGTACATTTTCTTGCTTATATGGATGAAGAGGTTCATAATCACTCTTATTTGAACTCTGAGGCACTAGTACTTTTGTTGATGACCGTTTTCAGTTGAGCTTGGCAGACAAAGTTTCTGTGATCTTATAGTTTCAAATGCTAGAAATCAGTATGTTGCTTTCAAGGTAATCATCTAGCAGCCAACAATGTCACAAAAATAAGTATTAGCAACACTTCAAATTCTTTATATTTTTCACATGACTTGATGGTTATTTCAGGTAAAGACTACTTCCCCAAAGAAGTATTTCGTACGACCAAACACCGGTGTTATACGACCGGGGGACTCGTGTTTCATCAGAGGTGCTCATCTCGAGTTTGCTTTTTTATTTTTTATTTTTTACATTTTCATATGCCAACGTACTCTTACAGATTAGTTGTGCAAGTTCATTCAAGCTTGAATAGGTTCTGGCATAAGACAGATCATAAATCAAAGTTCAAAATGTGGACACAATTCCTCCCCTATGGAAAACCTACCTCATAAATTGTCTTACTTTTGCACCTAACATTTGGATATTAATGATCCAAGGATACCTGATAATAGTGTCTTAGAATGGCTAATAATAATAATGAGTTAATGATGTCTGCAGTGACCCTTCAAGCTCAACGAGAGTGCCCCCCTGATATGCAATGCAAGGACAAGTTTCTTCTGCAGAGTACAATTGTTGATAGTTATATTGATGACCTTCCACCAGATACTGTAAGAATCTCATATTGGGGATAGTGTGCTACTATATACGTTTTATTCAAAAAAAATCAAAGTATATTTCTTTGAAAACCATGAGGTATCCGCATACAGTTTAACAAGGAAAGTGGGAGATTAGTAGAGGAGTGCAAGCTTCGGGTAGTATACGTTTCTCAGTCTTCCCCAGGAAATTCAGAAGATCGATTTAGACAAGTCACTGATGCAAACTCTGTAAGTTTTATTGTACTGTAATTTCTTTTATCCTGATCGTTTTTATCCACTTCCAGCTGGCAAAATTACTTTCTACTTGAAATCAGAATGCTTTGCAATTGATTGTGAAATTTCTGGTTGTTCTATGCACAACATTTTTAGTTTATCCCACCTGGTCCTTCTAGTGACATATTCACCTCGTGCAAGACTAAAGGATGAGAAAGAGATGGAGAAGAGGGAAATAGTTGATAAATGTGGTAGGTTGTGTGTTTGGTAGGAGAGAAATAGAAAAGAAGTGGGTAGAGATTGAGAAGAAATGCATTTCTCTCAGGTGGGACCCATCATTTTAAATTCTTTAGTACCCACCACTCCACCAGACAAGCTCTGCATCTCTCATACCCCTCTGTTTCCTTCTCTCCTATTTCACCTTACACTGGTGTCTAAGGTGACATATCACCAAAGACATTGCTGGAGCTTGGAAGGACCAATGGTAGTCCTTTAACCCTCCTCTTAGAGAAGAGACCATAAGTAACATAAATGCACAAATTTGTTTTCTTCGTTCAAATACTATGTGTTTTGTACCGTGATGGCTGATGAATGGCATATAGCATTATTGCATTAAGTACAATTAATCCGCTTAGAACGGATTCCGCAACCGGAACGGTATACCTTTAGAGCAAGGTGATGCTTTTAAACCAGGGATATATGCTTTTCATTGTTGCATCTATTTTGCGAATAGTCCATTTACAGAGCAAGTAGAACTAAAAACTTTTGGTTTTGATAGAATACACTCCCTCCATCCCTATTTTGTTCTTCACTTTTCCTTTTTGTGGCAACCTGAATGAATCATCTATCATTGTTACTATTAATGAAGGACAGGCTGATTCCGAAGTTTTTTTTGTTATTTTACCCATATTCCTTATAATCAAGATATTTTAGAAACTGCGCAATAAAATCCGGGCGGAGGGAGTATTAAGAGTATATAATGCTAACATATGTGAGTGATCACTTGAAAACTCCTTTTCCATGAATGGTTTAGACTCAGATGTTGGAGCGCATTAGAGAGGAAAGAGATGCAGCTATGCGGCAAACACAACAACTTCAACAAGAACTGGTTAGTGACCCCTTTTTTCTCCCTTATGTGCATTTTTACCGTGATGTTAAAGCTCTGTTTGATAAAAAATTCTTGTTATAAATATTCTATCCTAATTTTTTCAAAATTTCTGAAGTAGCAAATAAAAATGGTTTGGCCAATATTTTTTGCACATTAAAGTGACAACAAACACATAAAGTAAAAACCATACGAAAGGGCGCCTGAAACGAGCATGAAAGAAATAAAGAAAAAGTGACAAGCATGACATTTCTTTGTTTACTTAGCATAACAGTTATCCTTCCTTTTTTAAAAATCATATATATATATGTATATATGTATGTATGTATATATATATATATATATATATATATATATATATATATAAATATTCTTGTGTCCACAGGATGTGCTGAAGAGAAGAAGAAATAGGAAAAATGGTGTGGGCTTCTCCCTGAAGTTTACTCTTCTTGTTGGGGTCATTGGTCTTATGGTTGGCATTCTCTTCCAGCTATTATTGTCTTCCCCTCCTGCAGAAGAATAACTACTTGTCTCCCTCCCTCTGCAAAATTACAGTCTCACCCCTTTCTATTTCTTCTCACTTTAAACAAAAAAAAAATCAAATGACCCAAATAGGAGGATTATGTGTTCATTCCCTGGCCTGTAAAAAAATGGGTTCTTCCTTGGTAGCAGTTAGGATTACTCCATGTTAATTTTTCTCATAGATGATTTGCTCTTGGGTCACATTACGGATGACACCAAGTTTGACATCGTCAGTGTTCCTCAGATAATGATTCCTCAATCGGTGTGAAATTGTCTTTGGCGGTGTCAAACTGTGGTGTCATTCTTGAGGATTACCATTTTTCATTTGCATCTTAAAGTAGGGGTTTTATTCTCCCAATAGAGACATGAGAAGTGGTAATATTCTCTTAAACTAGAAATTTGAGATAATGATGAATCAATCTTATTACCCATATGGTCACTGTCTTCTAACCCATATATGTGGTTCAGGTTTTCATATTATCTTCAAAGTATAGTACTCCGTAACAGGCTATGGTTCTTTTATGTGTTGTAGAGTTATTTTGCTTTAAAATATTAAAAAGTAACCAAATTTCTCCCTAGGGTCCGTTTGGTACACGGAATTGAAATTGATTTGGATATTGAAATTCTATGAAATTGATTTGGATGTAATTGAATTTTCCAACTCCAATTGGTTTTTGGCACTGCCAATTCCAATCAACATATTTTTGTGTTACCAAACAGTAGAATTGGAATTGTTATTCTCTATTCCAATTATATAGTTTGAATTCTTTATACCAAATGGAGCCTTAAGCATATACTCCAAGGTAGAGAATATAAGAATATCACATTCCACCAACAAAGGTAATCTTCATGACTTTTTGTCAAATTACCAAAAGCAAAAATGTGGTGTTGCATAAAGGCTATGCTATTAAGTTGGGTGAGGATGATGTGTCCACCACACAAAAAAGGTAAGAACACCAACATAAAATTACTTCATTGTCAAGGACCATACTATAGTCATGATAATTTTGATACTATACAGTTTTTGATACCATGTTTTCGAGATTTATATATAGACAATTATTATTTGAGTCGTTCAGATAGTCATTTTTTTTACGTGTTTATGAAAATGGATTTACCCAATTACTGATAGAAGGGTAAATCTATTTTAGTGAGAAAAAATGGGTTGGCACTTGGAAAGCACTCACTGTTTGTCAAATTTTAAAATGGACAAGCACTTATATTTTGAACAGGGAAAGCACTTACTTGCATTTGGAATCCGGTGAAATCAATAATAAAAATTGGGTTCGGATTTCACTTGCATTCGATTCCCAATTTGGAATCCCTCTCTCCCAATTACAATCTTTTTCTTCATTTATCTCTAGTATATATTATAATAGAGTCCATAGTACTTAAAAAATAGAGTAATATTCAGCATTTCAAAAAATTACTATAAAAAACTCGACACGTACCACCCACGTAGCTATGGATTTCTGCCTTGTTAGAGCATCTCCAATGGGAGATGGTAAAAATATATTGCTATTTGTTAAAATACCTATTGAATAGTACATTACCAATAAAATAAATTCTCCTTATTCCAATCATAGTTGCTAAGCTTGGCTAAACTAGGCATTTTGGTGTTTTGCTAATTGGTATTTTTCCAAATGGAGTTAAAAAATGTGGCAACTCTAATTGGTATTTTGCCAAACATGGTACGGAGTATTTTTTTTTATCAAATTCATTCGAACTAAGAAAGGATTGCTATATGTACATAGTACTTGGTATAGAAGCAATGTTGAGTCAAGAAGTTTTGGTACTTTATTTTTAATAAAATGGAACATGAGTGGTCGTGATTTGTATGGTGGAACATATTTTATTACCACTCAGTATTTATTACTCCGGTACTATTTATTACTAACCATTCTATACATATATTACGATTATTAACTATGGAGTATTTGAAAATGTCCTACATAAGCTCTCATATAGACCGAATATAGTCCAATCAAGAACTCATAAACCAACCATGTAATTCTTTTAAAAATTAGCTTTCTTAGAGCAAGTTTAGCTTTTAACATGGTAAAAAAACTATTCCTCCATCTCACTAATTCAACTAACTGGCTGGTACTGGGGATCCTCAGGGATGAAAGTTCGGGACGTAGAATGTCAAGCGAAGATTCAAAATAATAGAATTTTTGTGGTTAAAATAGAATTTGGAAGGTATAAATGTATTTGAGCTAGATAAATCATATCAAATATATTATGCAACAAAATCAATAAAAATTACAGAGAAGGAAAAAAAATAAAACTTCATTCTATTCAATTTGTGATTTTTGAGTCCTGTTTTTTCATATTTTAAAAAGTAACTAAAATTTAATACTATTTAGACTTCAATATCCAAATCTGAGTGTTCATAGCCCAGGCTCTAATTAAATTTTAAGAGAAAGAATACAACTACGTACGGAGTACTCCATTTCATATTAACTGTCTTATAAGACATTTTTGGTACATCGAAATATGAGTGAATGTAGACATGCTTTGTGTTTACATTCATTTATTTTTTTAATGTACCAAAGTTGTCTTATGAGACAGTTAATGTAAATGGGGGGAATATGTCTTATGAATGAGTTTAATTCTTTTGACAATATGGCCAAATGTCATAATATGACATTGGATCTATTGGAACTCCTATCTTACTCCGTTTGTAAAATTGATGAATTCCATCTATTAACCCTCGGTAAAACCACCAATTTTGGCTTGACCCAAACCGAGCCCCAACCCCATCAATTACACCCCATAAATTTAGTTGACTTTGGCGTCAAAAAGTTTGATCTCAAAGTCAACTAAATTTGGGGAGTACAATTGAAGAAGATGGGGTGTCTGTTCGAGTCGAACCAGGGTGATAGATTTACCGAAGGAAGTAAACATGAATTTTATGAACGAGATAACGTATTTAGAACTAATGTCATATTATGGAAGGGAGCCCCTTAAGAATAGGTAAAATATCTAGAAATCTACAGATAGTTAAAGGAAATAAAATACAACAATTGCAAGTGATTAATAATTAGTTGGCTATTTATTCTACATCTTGACTTGTTCAGCTCACGAGCAATGGACGGTTGTGATGCAAGCATTTAATATCTCAGATTATTTGCCATTTTACCAATTGGACTCTGACTTTTATCATCATCCCAATCCAAAATAAAAGAAGAAAAAAATACACTACAAAAGGTAAAACAATTACAAGAAAAGAAGAATAAAAAAGAAAAAAAAGCAATTGTTGACTTGAAAGGCATAACAAATTAACAATTAACAAATACTCCGTCCCATTAACGGCTTTGAAAAGGGGAATATGGTTGAAATGTGGTTACCCGGAAAAGTATTGTATTGTAAAAAATTTGCAAATAAGATTTGGAATAATAGTAACAAAGAAATTATTCAAAATAGAAGTAAAACGTAGTCATTATCTCTAAAATGACAGTAATATAATTATATACCCAAAATAGGATTATTACACTATGATAATGTCACCCTATATTAATGTTTCAATATTTTTTTTGGATATTATATATTAGCACTAGTGCATTATATGTCTTATTTTAGATATAGAAACATGAATATATATCATATTTTGATTTTTTAAAAATATATTTTACTTCCATTTTAGTATTTTTCCATAACAATAACAACAGAAACAAGAACAACAACAACAATAATAATTGATTGTTCTATTTGGACGGCCTTAGATGCAAGTGGTTTACTAGACCTAATTAGGGTTAGACAGGGTACGAAATTGCAATTGGTACCAGAACCGTAGGGAAAGGTTTCGGTTTCATTTCTTATATTTTGGTACCGGATCCAGAACCGCAATGGAATCTGAGTTGGTTTAATTTTTTTAAAATAATTTTATGCTCATTTTAGATTTGTTTGAAATCGGTTCACAATATTTACTACCAAGAAAAGAGTTTGAAGTATAACTTTTTAACCAAGAATTTTATGAAGTGAAAACCGATATGACTAAAACAATTTTTTTTTTCTAAGGTGAAAAGATTTCATATAGTTCTTCTTGTGAGTTGTACTTAGCCAAGAGCGGTGGGGACAATACATATATACTTTGCTTTTAACTAATCCTACACAATTTTTATTAAATATTCATAACTTATCCTAATATAAAGTAGTAAACGAGCTTAAGCTTCCTATTTGTGACAAATTGGGTGAGTTTTCAACTCATTTGAACCAACTATTATTTTTAATTAACAACCCAACTTCGAATATTATTTTATCACTCGCTCGTCAATATTTTAAACTCATCATATATCAAAATATTTGTCTTACTACTAAAATACTTTTTTTGTAACAGTTTGTTCTATTTATTGATTTAATTGATATTTAAGCACAAAAAGTGATCGCTAGTACGCTTTTTTAGCTCATGTTTTTGAAGGCCACGTTTGGGATCAGAGTTAGAGGTTAGCAGTAGTGTTTTGAAAAAGACTATTTGATTGTAGCCTTTAGCGTTAATGTTTTCAGAGTTAATTTACACTTTCAAAATTTTATCTAAAACGCTAACGCTAATTGAAAACAATTTTTCCAAACAAGGCTTAAATATGATATGTGTTTATATTTACATTTTAATTTTCTTATGTGGTTATTTATATAAAAAAAAGTTTCAACATTCTTCAAACTGAAAAGGGGGTAAAATTTGTTTGAAATGCCCATTATACCATTCCCGTCTAACAAGTTAATCTACTTTTTGTAAAGCATCACACAAAAGTAAACACAAAACATTACTATCTTTGTGTGAAAATAGAGAAATGCTTTACTCAAAACTCAAAAGCACAATAGTTCAAAATATATAAATTTACCTTTGGTGTATTTAAATTTTTACGTTGTAGTCATTTAATGCTCCATATATTTTGTGACGTTTTATTTGTTACTCTAGTGTTTCTCGTGAAGCCAAACTTAAAAACTTTTTTATAGAATAAATTATTTCATCTATCATATAATATAATTTTTCATTTTATGATAAAAAATTATTCATACCAAGAGAAAATTTAGATTTCTCTCATTTATAAAAAAGAAAAGAACACATTCCGTTTCAAAATTAAAGTCTCAATAAATTATTTATAGGTCAAACTTTTTAATAGCTACAAAATTTTCATTAATTATTTATAAAAATAACATAGTCATAACATCTTTCATCTTATATAGCATTTGATATAATTTTTAAATATTTTTTTAATTTTTGTATAATTATTTAAATAAATTGAATCAAGTCTCTTTATCCGCATTTAATTATGAAACCATTGAAACATAGAGCATATGTCTTCAGGACTGCCCATATGTCTTCACATTTGCTTTTGTATGAGGGACAACTTCTATGACCACTCATTTTGAGCGGGTTACGAAGGACAATGTCTCAATTAGAATACTTCTATTGTTTTTTTTCGTAAAATTGATAGTTCTATTCTTTTTTAATTTTCCGGTAAACCTCTCTATCCAGTCCCGACTATAATCCTCTCCTATCAACGTCAACTGCAGGGTGCAAGTTTAATTGATTTTAGTTGACTCCAAAGTCAACTAAACTTGCATTCTGCAATTGATGTGCGTGAGTGGATGAGTTGGGATTCGAGACTAGGGAGACGGGGGAGGGGTTACCGGGAGAATTAAGAAGAGCTCGAACTATTAATTTTATAAATAGAGCACCATTGTAATCTTCCGTAGCTACCTAAAGTGTGGAGTCATAGAACCTTCGCTAAAATAATTACTAAAGTTTATTTTGAAACAAGGAGAATAAACAATTAAATGTTTAATTTGAGAAAAGAAATGCATAAACCTGCCATCTACTGCCCATTTCACATCCCCTTCCAAACAATTTCTTGTATTTCTATTTAAAACTCCCTAATTATATTCTTAGATTCCACCAATGGTCTTTTCCTTTTCCCCTTGGATTTTTTGTACATAGATTTGTCAGCTCTAACCAAAACAAAACACCCACAATTTCTATCTCCTCTTTACTTTTCTTTCTTTCTCTTCGCTGTTCTGTTTTATTTGGTGAGTTTCAGATACATACTTTTCTGGGTTTTCTTGGATTTTTAGAAAGTTTTCTTCTTTTTCATTTTGGCTAATTTTTTTGCTGGAGAAGTTTCTTTACACAGTACTCCATGTTTGCTCTATGAAAGCTCAGAACGACAATAAAAACTAGTATTGTGCATACACAAAATTTTGCATTTTCTGGATTTATTTTCTTTAAGAAAAGGCCCTTTCACCCTTTCTTTTATCTGGAATTGTCCCTAACAATTTTCTTCATTTGAATTAAGTGAGAGAATTGAAATTCAAAGATATGGGAAAACATGGGCCTTGCTACCACTGTGGTGTTACCAGTGAGTTCATTTTAACTTCTTATGAATATTTGATTTTTTGAAAGCCAAAAAGATTGGTTTTTTCCCCTGATTATTCAGTGCTGGGGTTGTTCTTGTTTGCTATGAGAAAAAGGGTTGCCTATGCTTAGATTAATGGTGAAATATGCACTTGGATATTCATACTTTGCTTTTATTGGACATTGAACAATATAATATATAATATGTATGTGCTGCTGTTAATCATGTTATTCATGGCATGACCTGTTTTGTATGGGCTTTTTGGTTGAAAATAATTGAACCTGCTGAAATTTCTGAAATGAAATTAGTGTTTGCAGCCTACATGTCAACCAAATAAGCAGTTCAGAAAAACAATTTTTTTTGTGGGATTTTACTGGGTTTATTGTTGTTCGTTGACTTAATCTGCCCGAAGTTTGTTAAACGAGAAAATCCATTTTGGTAAAAAAACTAAACCGGTTACGGGTACCAAACAGTGCTTTTACTTGTTGACAATAATATACAATACAAGTTTTGAGCCTGTTTTCTTCATCATTTGATTCCAATGACCTCCATTTCTAAGTATTTGGCAAATGTATCACAGTTCCACTTTCGGAATGGTCGAATACAATTCAAAAATTAATGAACAACAATTCTAATTCGTATTACCTCCAAGCTTATTTCCTATTCTATACCTTACTGGATTTATATTACAATATTTTAGAATATAAAATCTTTTCTGGACCTACAACCACAATCTTGAGCTTGTGATTGAGTTGGTTCGTTGAAATGGAATCAAACCTTGCCAGCCTAGAGGTCACGAGTTCGAACCTTTGCCACCCAATTTTAAGATTTAATCTTCATGAGGCAAAAGCAAATCGCATCTGCAAATGAGGAGACATTTAAAGTATAATTTTTTTTGTGGGCTTACAACCATAAGATCGAGCTTGTGATTGAGTTGTTTCCTTCACGTAACTGCATTTAGTCATTTATAGGACACGAGATTTTAAGTTTCGTTATAGGATTTGTAGCCACTTCACTTTTAATGTGTTGTTAAGGGATTTATCCCAATTAGAGAAAGGACATGAATACAAGTCGAGATTAATGTTTTTGATTGTTTCTCATAAAAGTTTGATCTTTAAAATGAAACTCTACTTTTTAAATTTTTTACACGGATGTTTCTCGTGTATGTGCTCTTACTTTATTCGTGTTACCCTGTTTACTTTGTGGTCATGTATTTTGCTTTAATTTGAGCAGAAACATAAGTTTCAACAATTTAACCCCATTTCCTAGTATGGACATACAATATGAGCTGTTTCTAAGGAATGGGAGAGAACTTATTTGCAGCCACTTTCTAATGAACACAAACTTGCATATAATGGGCAGTTTTCACTCTTTGTTCATTCACAGGCACCCCACTCTGGCGTAACGGGCCTCCTGAAAAACCCATTCTTTGCAATGCATGTGGATCGCGGTGGAGGACAAAAGGGACATTGGCAAACTATACTCCTTTGCATGCTAGGGCTGAACCCGGGGACATTGATGACTATAGGCCTTCTAGGGGGCGAAACGTATCTGGGAAAAACAAAGAGGCAAGATTCTTCAAAAGGAAGCATGGCTTTGATTATGATTATGCTGAAAATGGAGTTTTTCCGCAGTATAGTCACTGTTTGCTTAAGAGTTTTGAGGAAGATACAAGCAATAGATCAAGCTCTGGCTCTGTCCTCTCAAATCAAGATAGTGTTCGGTTTGGCGGTACTGAAGTTAGTGAAATGACAGGTTTGCCCCCATCCCGACCACACCAAAAGATAATAAGATATACTCCCTCCATCCCATATTTTTCTTCTTGTCTGGACTTGGAATGCTTTTTAATATACGATGAACAAAAATATGAGCATGGTTGTAGTTATATGAATTTATAAACGACGGTTTGATTGTCTCAACTTGGCAATCCAACATGAGAGATTGTTTTCCTTAGACCCTTTGATGAATTGCTTCATTTACTATCCAAAACTTCATTGATAGTAAGAAGCAAAAGGAAGTTTAATGTGGTCATTTTGATTTAGTTCATTATTTACCTGAAGCTAAAACATTGTGAACTACCACTCTTATAGGCCAAGCCCAATCTAATATATGGGACACAACAGTGCCTTCAAGGAAAAGAACATGTCTTGTTGGGCGTGCAAAGCAACCATCTCCGGTTGAGAAGCTCACCAAAGATCTATGCACTATCTTACATGAACAACAATCGGCTTCTTGCATCTCCAGATCTTGTGAAGATGATTTGCTTTTTGAGAGTGATAGACCAATGGTTTCAGTTGAGATAGGACATGGGGGTGTTCTCATTCGGCATCCAAGCTCGATAGGAGGGGAAGAGGAGTCCGAGGCGAGCTCTCTTTCTGTTGATAACAAGGTGCTTTCTGTAAATATGCCAACTACGGGAAGCGAAAGAATCAAGAAACCATTTGGACAAGGAATGGATCAAGAGCTGATGAAGAGGTAACTGTTTGGGAACAACAATTTCAATTAGTGTTGGCGTTTTGGATTATTTTTTGATGGTGCAGATTAACTTTAAAAATGCTAAAGCCAAACATTGTCATTAGATAGTCTTTTCAAAATGCTAAAGATAAACATTGAAGTTGTTTCCAAACAGACTAATTATTATACGCAAAAACAGTCCTGAGAAATTTTTGTTTGTGAAACACCAAGGTTGACATCATCACTCACAGTCACGACTCACGCACAAACAGTCCTGAGAAATTTTTGTTTGTGAAACACCGACAATGTCAACCTTGGTATCATCTGTGGTGTGTTTGTGACATTGACCTTCTCATATACCTTCGTCTTTTTTGGCTTAAAAATGGTTTCTAAATCCATGCAAATGTATGCATCTTAGTAGCTTGTTTTTTAGTTTCAGGGATAAGGATCAGCTTGAAGAGCTGCCAATTCTAGCTCATCTTGATTCACCATTGGGTTATATAGATCTACAGGTAATTTCCAAATGTCTTTTACGTCCAGAGACTCTTGAAAACCTCTCGACTTCCGAGTAGGAGTGATGTCTCTCTTCTTTATGTGGTATTTTACTGGATTTGTTGTTGTTTTTAAACACAAAGGCTAAGGTGTTATTAATTAACCTCTTATTTTTCCACTGATAGTTGCTAGTGCTTATAACTGTTCATTTTTTCTTTTCCTTCCTCTTAAAAAGAGTGAGAGTTTTATTATGGGATGTCCCGAAAAGAAAAGTGGGAACTTAATTTTGGGACATGGGGAGTATAAGATTACGGTGTATGAATTAAGAGCCTGGTTCTTTTGACACCAAGGACGGGTGTCATATTCCACCCGTCCATTTGAGGGCCCTACGGTCTTATATATGACCTTGTATTGACAACTTTTTAGGATGTTAAGTGTGACGAGATTAGCAACGGGACCGAGTCCATGGTTGTTGGAACCGATGATATTAAACAACCACAAGATGGACACCTTCCAAATGATTCAGGTTTGCATTTCTCTCCTCCTTGAGCCATATATATAATAATTCCCAAAAAAGCTTCTTGTCCCCCAAAATTTGTGATGCCTCATTTTTTTGATGTTGAAGGGTATATTGTGATTGGCCCAAATATGTATTGTATTCTCGATATTCAGGGCCTAATATTGCTTCATTTCTCTTATATCCTCTTTTGTTCTACTTTCCAAATCGTAATTACATCAGATGTAACTCTTTTTTGCTTTTAGATGGAAATGCAGTAATAAAGAGTCAGAAAACGGCGACAAATAGGGGCAGAAATGACACAATAAAGAATGACAGTTCTTCTTACAGTCCGAAATTGCCATCCGATCACAATCATTGCCTTGAACTTATAGATCCCATTGGTTTTAAAACAGTAAGCTCATTTGATCAGAGGGAAGAGGAGGAAGAGGAGGACTTGCTTCTTCTGGATGTGCCATCTAATTCCTCCTTTCCTCAAGCTGAACTCTTCTTTCCAACCCCTAACAGCTTCCTTTCTCATCAGGCAAGCCCTAGTTGTACCTCAGTGTACCACCGCAATCTTGCCTGTCCCATGAACTAACAGACACTGCTCATTACATATGTTGCACAACTTATCTAGGGGCAAGTTTGGTGATCATGGTGCACTCTTTTGTCATTTTTGAGCTCGTGGTCTCTTCAAAACCGTCTCCCTACTTTCAAGTAGGGTAAGGTCCTCGTTGACACACACCCTCTACAGACCCTACTCTTGTGTGATCTTTTTTTTGGGTGCACCCTTTTGTCATGATCATGCCCTTTGATTTTTAAATTGCTTCAAATTTTGAATATCTAGGGTCTTCAAATTTTGAATATCTAGGGTATACAATGGATGCTAGTGGGATCTTCTGTTGTATAGGATGATGACTAGCACTGTATGATATCAAGAGCTGTAAAAATGTAAATGTAAATGCAGTGTTGGGGTGGGGAGGTTTACCATTCCCTTCACAACTATAATATGAAAAACCCTTCTCTTAGGGCCCGTTTGGTATTGCTACTAGTGTTGAATTTTGAATAAAAAGCACTTGCGTGTAATATTTAAACATCCACCCGAGGTGTCATATGATGACACCGGCGATTTGAGGACCTTACGATGGACCCCTGGCCCCCTAACTCCCCCACTGGGGGGACTGTGGTGGGTAATGGGCTTTGTGTGTGGTTAGAGAGGGTAGAAACCACCTGAGGCCCAACGAAGCACTCTAGAGTCCTGGTGTCATAATCTAACATCCAAAACCTATGTCAAAAGAACCATGATGTTATATCAGAGTACTAAATTAAAACCCACAAAAATGAAAAACTTGGCAAATACAATTGAAGCAGATTTATAATAGTCATATTCAGATACTTCTCATATCACACATCTGATTACAGATAGCTTAGGCAGCAGTATTTACAAAAAGGTTCCTACTTGTTTTAACAAAAAACAGAAAACAAAACTTCATGTTACATACAAGCCTACCACAAGGTGATAAAAACACAACTGCAGTTTAGCACCACCATTTTCATAATGTATTTCTTGATCTTAGTGGCCACCATTTTCATAATGTATATCCAAAGTAAAAAAAAGGAACCGTTTCATCTGCATCACCAATAGAAGTCTATGTTCAAGAAAACCACAAGGCATTAGCATAAGATCAAACCAAAGCTGCAAATTTGTTTCATGTCTTGGAATCTTGGAGAGCTAATCTTGAAATCCTTCAGGTGGCCACCACCGAGGCCGGGGGAAATCCCAACCTCTCATCTTAGCGGTCTCCAGCAAACCGACACCATCACTTTCCTTCCCAAGCACCACTTGCAGAGCCCCCATCAAGTCGTTAAACGATGCATTTTTCATACCCGCACTACGTTCTTCTTCCTCCCCTCTCACTCTCTTCTCCACACACTTCATTGACAATGGCGAATCTGGCCTCCCCAAAATGAAATTCCTCTTCTTTCTTCTGTGCTCATCATCATCAACACACTTGACATACTTGAACTGCTCAATATCTTCAGTTCTCTTGCTCCCTGAGATTTTTCTGGAATTTTCACAAGTTTTTCCCAATTCATTTGGAATCATAGTTATCTTTGATGGAGGATCATCAGTATCATCACCCTTCAAAGATCCATCGACATTGTAACACTCACTTTTTCGAGCCTTATTTTTGACAGTATCAGAAACACTGCCACGAAATTTGACAATTTGGGGACTAGAAAACCCTAGATTGTCGCGATCCTTCTCCAAATCAGAAGCACTTTGAAATTCAGTACGGTTTAAAACTCTCACCGTCGTCTGGGGACCTCCGGAACCTCCCAACTGAGAACCTACGGCCGCCGTGGTTGTTGTGGCCTGTCTCGGGCATCCGCACCCGGTTCTATCGGGTCGGGAGCTGGAAATGGGTGGCAGGAGAGGGGTTATGGATGAAGCGATTCCTGCAGACGACGCCATGAATATGGCGGTGACACCCGGCGGCGGCGGCGGCGGCGGCAAGAAGATGAAATCGGATTTACCGGCGAAAGTGTAATTTTGCAACTTATCCTCAAGAAAAGTTACATTTTGAATTCATCTGCTTTTTACTCTTGCCATTTTAAATGAAGATCATAAGTTCGAATAGAGTTTTTTTTTTTGGTTTCTTTGTAAATATTTGTAAATATGTAAATAAAATGAATTGAAAAAATTTGATATTTTACATCGGTAATTGAAATGTGAGATATATTTAGAGACGGAGGGAATATAAAATAAGGCAACCATCTTTTGACCTTCTATGATCGGGTCATAATATAATCCGGGTTCCTACGATACTTCGTTCATAAAATTAATTATTTCTACCTCCTAAGCCTTACTCACATACCCCTTACCTGCCCACCCCACCACAACACCCCTGCCCCCTCCCCCAATTTGCCGGTTGACGTAGGAGTAGGGGAGTAGGATTTATTGGGTATGAACTAGAAACCATCAAAACATAGCACCATAAAGGTCCTGAGACATATTATGATCCGAGGTTTAAGAGTCAAAAGAATCATTTAGTGTAAAATAAATTTTTTAATTAAATTATGCTTTCAAATAAATTTTTAGTTAAATATTTTTTTAATGTTGATGTTCTAAAAAAGTTGATATACAATGAGAACTTGATTTAATCTTTAGCGTTAAGTCTATTTATATACTTCCTCTGTCTCCAATTTGATTACAAATTGCGAGTTACAGAGTGAAATTTTCTACTTTTTAAAATCATTTTATTTATAAATTGGTATATCAATAAGATATAAAAATTACATATCAAAAAACGACGTCAAAAGTTCTACAAAACAAGAGGTGACAAAAATATTTTATTTTATCAAATACTTAATGAAATCGCGTAAACAAACAAAAATTATCGAGAAGAGAGGAAAAAAATTGTAATCAGACGGAGAGAGTAATTAAATATTCGTGTGAATTGTGATTCAATGTCTCAAAAAAAGGGCAAATGAATCGGTATTGTTATCAATTGAGTAATGAATTGATAAATGCGATTTTGATTATACACGAAATTTGCACCATTGGAGAAAAGAAGAATATGTTCTAACTTTATACTTTGATAGAGAGTTATCTTGTAGCAGATGTTTGTTACTGATGGTGTAAATTACTTGACCGGTCAAACTATACTAGACCGGGTCTAGAATAGTTCGCTTGATTTGGCAAAGTAAGAAAGGTAAAAACACGCAAATTGACCGGTAGGACTTTAGGTGGAACACATGTAGCCCAATTTATATTATAACGGAGAATGCACGGGTGCTTTTACAAGGGAGTTTAGAGAGAGTGAATTCGACCCCTCTTTCTGAGGTTTACAAGGGGTATATATACTAAGCTGGGGGGACAGGTCCATGTGCGCCCACGTGGGGGCACGTCGCTGACGTGGTGCGAGATGACTGTCCCTGAGCCACCTTGTCATCTTGCGAGGGGGATTACCCTCCTTGTCACGTTCTGGCTTGGAAATATTCCTCCAGCATCTCTGCAACGCCAACCACTACAGTCCAAGCCTCTTTTGGATTCTTCCTGCCGACGCTCTCCGATCTTCGGAAACTAGACCGGGTGATCTTCGAGGGTTGGTTTGGCTAATTTCAGAGGACGGATTTAGGCAATGGAGTAGTTTGACCGGTATACTAACCCGAAGTGTACCGGTCAACTTTCTGGTCAACCAGCCACCCCTTTGCTGACGATTCAGATCTCCCTTTTGAGTTCGACTTCTTTGACCGGTCAACTATCTAATCCAGCCCTTTGACCGGTTGTGGGTGAAATACACCCATCAGTTACTATAAGTTTTAAATTTCATGAAGTCTATGTTCTTTTAAAATGAAATACTCAATCAATCCTACAAAAAATAATTCACTTTCAATTAAAATTACTTATTTATTCATAAAAATTATTAGCTTATCTATTACTACATCATACACATTCATTATTAATCTACTAATCATATCACATTCTATTCCATCATAAAAATGGTATTGATTCCTCCACAATAAAATATACTTCCTCCGTCCCAAACTATTTGCAATGTTTGTTTTTTCAGCAGTCGCGAGAACTTTTGTCTATTTCTACGTTTTCATTGGTTATTTGATAAAATAAAATATTCTTGACACCTCTTATTTCGAAGAAATTTTCATATAATTTTTTGATATGTAAATTTTATTTTTTATTTCCATATCAATATGTAAATAAAATGAATTGAAAAAACTCGATTTTTTGTCTCGAGAATACAAGTGTGGCAAATATTTAGGGACGGAGGGAGTATATGCTAGTTTCAATGCGAAATGTTATTTTAAGACGAAGGAAATATGAAAATATAAATTTAAATTAAGTACATCTTTAACAAAGGGGAAAATAATCAAGGTGAAAATGAAACATAATTAGGGGGAGCCTTTTGCTTTGATACTCTCTCCGCCCTGTATAAATGTTTCACTTTCCACTTTTAGAAGAAAAACTTGTGGCCCTCATAATTCTTCTTTTCCATGCATCACTTTCATAGATAAAACTTTACTTTTCTTAATTTTTGTGTCAATTCAAAAGTGAATTTTTTATATGAAGGAAGAAGTATCAAAATAAACGATTTAGGTCAGATTCTCTTCACATGATCTTATTGGTTTTGATTTGATTCAAATAAATTTTAATGAGATCTGGTCTAATTTGATCTAAATATAATTATATTTAAAGTCATTTCTGATCTAATTCTAATAAGAATAAATAATAATTAAAAAAATAAGTTGAAGAGAATATGGCCTTAGTGCTAAAAATGTTTTTGACAAACGATGACTTTAATGATGACAAATAAAATGCATATTGCAGATTCTTGGGGGAGCTAGGGGCAGGGATTTAAGAGACCCACTTCGAAATCCAATAAACACTGTTGGGCCTCAGTATTACTCATACCTAAAATGAATGTCAAAATCCATTACAGAGTTTTAAACAAGGAGTATTTTTAGTTTTGCGGGCCGGGTTCGAGTGATATTGATTATCAATGTCATCCTATGACATGGCCCAACTGAGATCCCTGTGGTGCTCTTTATTGAATTGACGCTTCTTACTCCCGGTAAATTTTCTGTGCAGTCAAAAAATTGACCTCAAAATCAACCAACTTTGGGAAATGCAATTGAAGGGGGTGAGTTCGGGTCGAGGTAGGGTGAGAGGGTTGACTTGAGATTAGGAGATAAGAACCGTCAATTTTACGAACGGAGCATGATAGGTACTCCAAATGGAACTCATGTCACACGATAAATCGTGGTTCCAATGTCAAGGGAACCCCTCAAGCAATAGTCATTAGTCGAGCACTTTCTTCAAGAACCAAAACATTTTTAAAAGGATTGAATTGTGTTCAACTAACTGCAACAAATTTCGTGAAATGAAGCCACATGAATCTGTTACTCCCACCCCCAAAAGAAAAGGAAAAAGTGAATCTTACAGCATCATTATGGTAATACACAACACAGTGAAGATGCAGGCTAATACAAATGCATCAAATCGGCTTTTGCGCGAAATTGCAGGTGAATGGTGGATGGTCAAAACTTACGTCGCGCCTGGTAGAATTTAGCATTTTATCACTTCAAAAATCTACCTGAAATTCTACATTTGTAAGAAAACAGCAACGAAGATGGTGAAATGAACGGTACCTTGATACCCACCATGAGAGATGTCAGTTTGCAGACAAATCATGCCTTCTTTGCACGACGCCTCTGTCTTCTTTGCTCTTTTCATTGTAAAGAACCTTCAAAATATGGTATCAAAACGTAAGCAACGATAAAAAAGAAGAATATAAAGTAGTCTCTTGCTTCTGTTTAAAAAGAAGAAGAATTGTGTTCCATCAAAGTAAAACTTTTTTAATTTATTAATGTACAGCTATTCTATATCAACCATCCTACTTGGGTCCCATGTGGTTCGCGTATCGGGCATGAGTATGAGAATCTCATATGTGTATAACTCATGTTCGGTTACAACAACAAATCTAGAAGAATCACATTAAAGTAAGGTCTTAGTAGGGTTTGTGTATGCAAACTATACCCCTACTTGACAGTAGAGAGATTGTTTTCAAGAAACCCCAGCTTGAGCATAATAGTACGGATAAAGAAAATTCATTAGCACGAACTAAGCAAGGCAGAGACACAATACACACACATACTACACTATCAACAAGATTCAAAGCACATAAAGCAAAAATACATAAGCTACAGACTAAAGCAAAAAACACACCATCATAAACTACAAACTAATGCCGAAAGCTTATCTAGGTACTCTAAACATAGATCTCAAAATGCTCCTATTTAACCCTACAACTCATGATTAAAAATTACAAAGTTCAATGAGCATTAGTTACTTTTGTTGAAACGTAAACATAACTCTATAGAAACAACTCTTTCTTTTTTTTGACAGAGGGTACGATCATTCAAAGCACCTTATCGATGATTCCATATTCAACTGCTGCAGTCGGATTAAAATATTTTGGACGGCTTATGTCCTCTTCAATCTGTTCTGGTGATTTTCCTGTATGCTTGGAATAGAGTTTCACCTTCAAAATAGAAATAAAATTGAAATATAAGTGCCAATGCAAAAGCAGCTAACATTTCAAAGTTATAGCAGCAATACAAGGGAGTGTTTGTCTCCAGAGCAAAAATAGATGAATCTGTTTTTCAAGGAATATACCAATGTTAGTTGAAAATAAAATAAGAGTTTACCAACTCCGCTTTCAAAATCTTCATTTCATTCCTCATTATATTTACATCTGTTGCTTGGCCCTGAAACTGACCCATAGGCTGCAGATACAAGAAGATGTGTACGTAAGCGTTTCTATTTTCCACTAGTGTTACAACAGGATCTTTCGTATTAGAGTGGGGAGACAGATAGATAGAGGCATAGATAATGCGTCTTAAGATATAGAGCCAGGCAATAGATACTTACTCTTGAATCCAATTAATTAAAAAATATACTCGTAATTGAGAAATTAAAGGCAAATACACAATAAAACTACACACACACACCGTATGTGAAAATGAGTGAGTGTGTGTATTTATTTTCCTAATGAATAACAACACTAACACACACACACACGGACACACAATCAGACACATTTAAAAAATAAACGTATGGATAGTCTTCCAAAAAAGCAAACTGCAATGTTGCCAAGAATAATCCAAGGTTTGCTTCAGTCTTACAGAAACGAATGCATTAATCTTCCCTTAACTTTCTGAAATTTATGATCCGGCATTATTTTGGACCAGAAGCAGAATCTCAAAAATGTGTATAGAGGGTCAGCATAAGTAATTCTAATCTTGAACTTAATCAAGACAAAACATTTTCGGTAAATTTTTATATTTAAAGAATGGCACATTTAGCTGACAAATGTGTCATTTAAAAAAAGTAGTTAGGCTTTAAAGATCTAACTATATTAAACTTCATTGTTTAATGTTTTCCCTCGATGACTTGGAAATTTGAGATATTCAACAAAAAGTCTATAATATACTTTTTAGACATCCAACAAAAAGTCTATAATATTCGTAATCATTTGGATGTCTCTATTTCAAAAATGATTTGTTTATTTAGTGGTACTTCACATCTTTATTCTCTAACATAAATGATTTGTTAAAATTAACTTCCATTAAGGCCATTTTTTCAATTACATTTTAATGTAACCCTTTCATTTCTCTCATCACTCAATAGATGTGAATATCATATTTAAGAAAATTTATGGATTGAATTAATTCCATATATAGAAAAGATTAATTTTTTAAATTAATGATTTAAGTTGTAATTTTTATTATAGCTATTTCATTTTTATCTCTTTCTCAAATTATTATAAAACTAGTAAAAAAATAAATTTGAGAACCTGTCTGATCATGATTGTAGAGGAAGGCAAGGCAGCACGATTTCCTTTTTCACCCGCTGCAAGAAGTAAAGCAGCTTCACCCCAAGCATTGCCTACACAAAGGGTGAAAATGGGTGGCTTGACAAACCTGCAACCGGAAATAGTGTTTCCAATATGTTTAGATTTTTTTTAAAGTTAAACATGGAATGGAGCTTTTGGTGTAGTTACACGTGGGAAAATTGAAACGAGAAAATATTGGATAATATGGTAAAGATGTATAACCCCATTGCATCATAAATTGCAAAAGCCTCTGTTTCATATCCCAACTTCTGATCGCCCTGCATAACAAATGTGTATACGTCTCTAAATGTGAAAACACACTAAATGAGAAAAGAGGCTCGAAAAAATTATCCTAGCTAATAAGAAAACAGCTATTCAAACGATACACATGTCCATCATAATGGCAGACAATTTCGGAAGTTCTTAACCAGTAGGGTTAACTGGATTCAAGTATGATCAGATCCTTTTTTGTCTAAAGGACGCCAAAATGATAAGTGAACGCGACAATTTCAAATATTCAAACATGGAGTGACTCACAAAGAAATGATAATAAATCCACAATGACATACCTTAGTTGTCCCAGTGGAATTAATATAAAGGAAAATTGGCTTGTCTAGATCTTCATGCTGAAGGTACAGAAACTCTGCTAGTATTAATTCAGTCACGGAAGGAACCAGAGACATGCCAAGATAAACTATTCGGTTCGAAAAAAAGTAAGATGCTAAATCTGGAGGAGGTTGGGTTGAAGCATTTCCCCTCGTGAAAGGAATGACCTGTTTAGAAAATGTTGCAAATCAAAGTCGGATACTCTTCCCGCTTCCTAGATTAGGCACATATAATGGTAAATGAGAATAAGCCAACCAAACAATGAGCAACAGCTAACAGTGAGGAATAAATGGATCGAATTGGCAATTTGTGATCACATTCATCAGTGCTTCTTTGTACAAACTTTTTCTCAACCATCGAAAAGGCCAAATTGCAAAAGAATTTGTAGCACTTGATCCCAAACACATGAAAGTGTCAGGTGAGTCCCTTAACTGCACAACCCCATCACTGCCTTAATTCAACAAATTATACAATTTCTGCTTGCAGTTCATACACACTTGTTAACTAAATAGAGTTTCGCTTCCTTATATCCTATCTGAAACAATCAGCTCAAATTCTGCAGGAAGAACACAACTTAACAACTCCCCTAAAATGGTCTCATCCCCAATTGCTTTCTTTGGTTCCCATCACCAATACAAGTACTAAACTAACTGGGCATTCTTGAGAGAGCATCTAAAGTAATACTCCTTGTGTCCCTAAACTATATTCCCACTTCCATTTTCCCTCTGTCAATAAATTATGCAATGAAATTGGCACATAATTCAATAATAATTGCTCAATTAACCACAAACGAAAAGGACAGTTCTGAAGAATACATGAAGCAATTGTTCCAGGAGGAGATACCATAGTGACAACCGAACGTTTAGGGCGGGATATGGAAACAGACGGGTGAAGTGAATCCGGTTTTATCTTGTGATGCCCGGAGAAATCAGAAACTAAGCTGCCGCCGGCGAAGGGAGAGAGAAATGTGGAGGAGAGAGATACTCTGGACGGAGAAGGGGTTGAATTCATTGACGCCGGGCGTTGCGACGGGAGCCTCAGTCGGGTCGCCGCCGGAAAGCCGGTTGAAGCCATGGCTGCAACCTCCATGGATGGGAGAGATTCGAGTAGCGCGATGGTTTCGTCTCGGGCGGCCTAGGAGAGTTGTTGGATCCGGCTTACGGAGATCCGGATTAGCGTCCGACCCGGCCCGATTTAAAATTACAAATTTTTATGTATCCGCAATTATGCATACAATTCGCATTTAGCCTTACTATTTCATTCCACTAATTATTTTTCTGTAGTATTCATTTTTAAAATGACTTCGATTTAACAAAATAATTGAATCAGCATTTCTGAAAATTTTAATATCATATATACAATAGAATGTGTGTTAAGTTGAATTTTATGGAAACTTATAACAGTTTAACTTGTATTTCAATAAGTTTTCAATAAAATATTACATCTTCCGTCCTAAAATGTCCAACATATTTCGAACAACATAAAAATTATTTTATCTTTTAAAATCATTTTATTTACAAATTAATAGAAAATAAAAAAATTTAATTATACTAGTTTGAAAGTAATTAAAAAATTCTACAAAATAAGATGTGATGAAAATATTCTATTTTATTAAATAATCACAAAAAACGAGTAAACAATTCTCAAATTCTCAAAGGCTATGTTGGGGGAATTCGTATATGAATGGATTTTTTTAAGAGTCGTGTTACCACTACCCAGATTAATTATTTGGGCGTTCATTTAAAAATCAATCGAGTAAAACTCAAACTTAGTTGATAATAAACAAATGTGTTATGATGAATTTTTTCGAACTCTCTATGAACATTTTGGCTAAAATAAAAAATTTTCGAGCGACACTAATCAGAGACTCTGCCACGTGAACCTTACTCAAGGGCGCTATATCCTTGGAATCTCGTTAAAACGGGACTTTAATCATAACAAACTCAACGGAGCGTGCATTCCGTACGCACAAAATTCTCTGATGATAGTTATGATACCACTGGTCAAATAATAATTCCAATTACACTAAAATATAAAACAAGCCTTAAGTAAAAAATAAAATTAGGCTTTTACAATTCATAATTCATTTTTTTACTCTAAATCTTTAAAAAGATTTTTTAGTTTCCTAAAAAAAAGATATTTTTTTAGTGCGCATATATTAATTTTTTCTGATATTGCCATTACAACATTTTTACTTAAAACTTTACAAGTTACAATATATTTGTGGATTTGACCCATTGTTCAAACCAGCGAAAAAGGAAAAAAATTCAAAAAGTACTATTGAACCCGACGTGAATCGAACACGCAACCTTCTGATCTGGAGTCAGACGCGCTACCATTGCGCCACGGATCCTGTTGCTTACAAGTTAAGACGTTGTCGTTTATATACATTCGCAATTAGGTCACTATGGCCTATGAATGATCCAATTGGCAGGTTCATACTTTCTCTTGCGATCTGTTAGTTCAATTTTATGTTGATACAATTGTAATTTTTTCTTTTTTTGGAGTAAAAAATTCATGCGTTAAATTCGAGATTGATTCCAAAAAGCGTACCAATAGCATGTACTCTAAAATGTGTATATATTTAAAGTATAAGTTTCATCCAAATTTTTATCACTTCAGAAAAAAATTGATTTTGTAGGATTTGAACTAACAATCTCTCTTACAATTATGTGATCATTATTATACTTGAAGAACATGTTATGTCATAAAGTTTCACATTGAATGTCATCCTCAAAAAGAATAATGTTTACACTTTGATTTTGGGGAGTTGATTAAAAATATTGGAAAAATAGAAAAGTGTGTAGTTTAGATTTAAAACGATAAAAAACTATAATTAATCGATTAAACACCTCAGATAGTAGAGTTTAAAAGGGTGTATGTACACAAATTTTACCTTTACTTAGAGAGCATAATATCGTTTAAAAAAAGGCAAAATTCACAAGAATACTCCCAAAAATTACAGATTTTACATAAATACTCCCAAATTTGTTTATTTACATTGTTACTCCCACATTTGTCTATTATTTACGTCGTAACTCCGCGATTGCTTCATCATCAGTGTTTCTCGGGTGCGTCTTTTTAAACGGGGTTCTTCATCTTTTTTTATTGAATTCAAATTAAATTAATATGAACAGACTTGATATTAAACATTAAAAAGATTTAGGAAGTCGATGGAGAAAAAATAAGTTGAGGTGAATTTGGTATATTAAAGTGAACAAAATACATGTCTGCATTTTAACTGTTCACTTAGCGCAAAAAAAAACGCATCCAAGTAACACTAATGATCACTACCAAATTTGGGAGCAATGATGTAAATAATAGACAAATGTGGGAGTAATGATGTAAGTAAACAAATTTGGAAGTATTTATGTAAAATCTGTAATTTTTGGAAGTATTCTTGTCAATTTTGCCTTAAAAAAACTCCCACTCAAGACCAGTGTTTTGAAAATTGGTCGCATGTCGAACTAGAGAAGCAAATGGGTCAAGGATTAACCAATCAAACCGATTGAATCAGGTAATATAATACTTACAGAGTATATTCTTACTAGTTAATGTGTTCTTATGTACTACGGAGTATGTAACATTTTAGACTTATATTTACTTAAATAAATGAAAAAAATAGAACAAAAAGTAAGGGAGTGGCATATTAAATTATATATTTAGGCAAATTAATCATATTTCTTTTTAAATAAAAAATTAAAAAAATTTAAAGTGTAGCATATTAAATTATACTATATTTATTTTTCAATATATCTATACACAAATATAAATCTCTTCTCTAAATAATTAAAAGTGTTTTCAAATGCATATATGAACATAGCCCCTGTGTCAAAGTCACAATATAACGTCCCTGGTTTGATTTTTTCTTGCTACATTTATTTTTTTAAGTAGATTATTAAGTGGGAAATTGGAATTGGATTCAGACCCACATACTCGACGTGTCAACCCAGACCAAGCGACTCAACGGGTCAAACAAGTTTGTCCGGTTTTTAATAAAATTAGGTTTCGGAATTGAACCAGACCGGACAACCAATCGAGTCGCAATCCAACCCGTTCATCCGGTCTAGATTTCAAAACATTGCTCAAGACTCTGAGTACAACGATAAAATAAAGTAATGCAAATTAATTAAATACACAATCCCATATCTCCTCCGTCCATAAATAAAGTTCTTGATACATGTTACGATATTTGACTGAAGTTATTTTCAAATCATTTTATATGAAAAATGGTATGAAATTAAAAAATAAAAATTACATATTTAAAAACTACATGAAAACATCTACAAAAGTGGAGTGACTTGACTATATTATTATATCAAATAAGACACAAAAATAAGCTAACAAAGTGAATAAAACTTGACCTAGCGAATAATGAACGAGAACTTTATTGTTGGACGGAGAGAGTATAATAAACCTTGGCACAATAACGAACGCCTAAAAACTACCACTTCTATATAAGACTATTCTAGTAAGTGATTAGTGCTTGCCCAAGCTTGAGCAAAATGATAAAAGCCACAAGTTCATTTCATAAAATACAGTCCCTCCATCCCCAAGAAGAAAGTCATATTCCAACTTGTAACAGGACGGAAATGGATAATTATTATTGTTACTATTAATTCTAACAATTACACAATTATTAAGAATCACTTAAACTGGGGCACCTGATTTTGATTTAGAGTTGCTAATGCCAATGAAACTCCCAATGAGAGGCCATCCTGCTCTGATATCCTTCCCATATGAGACTTTCATGTTGTGCCCTGTCAAACGCTCGAAGCCAAGAGTTGGGATAAAAAAGGCCCGGTTACTGTCACACCACGGATGACACTGAATTTGAAACCACCGGTGTTTCACAGAGAATGGCTTATAAGAGACAATCTAGAGTTAAATTAGGGGTATTTTTGTCGTCAATGGAGGCGAAATTTGTATGAAGAATTGTGAAGAAACAATGTGAGGGAGAGTAAGAGCTAAAGCATGGTTGGGTATTTGGCATCAATGAAATCCCTGAGGGTTTTGGCAGCTTTGAGGCCGCCCATAAGCTCAGCAAGTCTCTCCACCGGGAGGAGACAGAGATCTGCCAAGCTCTTGCATCCGTCCATTATGGCTCTGTAGTTTGATTCTGTCACTCCCAGGAGTCGTCTCAAGAATTCCACCGCTGACGTGTTGTAGTTCTCCGCTCTGTTCAAAAAAACAACAAACTCAGTATAATCCCACAAAAGTAGGGTCCCAAAAGAGGGAATGTGTATGTAGACATCATCCCTACTTAGGAGTAGAAAAGCTCTTTCCAAGAAACACAATAGCATGAACAAAAGCACACAAACATGAAACATGCAAACCCACACTAACAATAAACCCAAAACACAGAAAGCACACGTCCACGGGCTACAGAGTACAGACTAGGGTAAAAGTTCACCGCCATAAAGTTTAAACTATGGCTCAAAAAGAAACAAAAATGCATATTATTAAACTTTAGAATAAAGGTACAAATATAATTCTATAAAATTTGTAATATTCCTAGATGCATGCAAACCAAGACCTTGTTTGGAAGATGGTGATTGCATGTTGGCTGTTAGCTGTTTGCCTTGCTTAGTTTGAACGATTGAGTTTGTCTGATTGAGTTGGTTGTTTTGACCGGTGAGCTATTGATGAAAAAATGTTTGGCAAACTCAACTTCTTCTAAACAACTTTTGTAAAAAAAAATTATATTAAATTATATGATATACTCCCTCTGTCCCTGAGTATTTGTTCACTTTTGACTTTTTTTTGGTCAAAATTAGTAAACTTTGACCTCAATTTAAATAAAAATGATATTAGATATAGATATAAACAATTTTTCATTAGATTTATTATATCAAGTATTTTCAAAATATTATTTTATTTAATTAAAATACAATATATATTTTATTTAATTATAGGTCAAAGGTTGAAAACAGTTGACCGAAAAAAGTCAAAACTGGACAAATACTCAGGGAGGGAGGTAGTACTACGTAATATGTGTTCCTTTCCTGAAATGAAATTTTAAGGCACTATTCTAAAGTCACAAATTTTTTTATTTTATCGATCATTCGATAAAATAATCCGGAGTAAAATCTTTTTTTGAAAACTTCTAATGTAGTTCTTAAATATATGATTTAATTTCGATACTAATTCTAATAAAAAATCAAAGAAATATTTTTTCTTGTAAATCCCTCTGTGAATTATAATTGAGGTAGTATTTAT